GCCCTTGCCAGTGCCTTTGTGTGTTTGCTCCCTGACCAGACCGTGATGTGATGCTCTGCTCTGCGGTGGCGGGGACGGCCCTTCTGCTCACAGTGGAATCCGGGAGCTTGGCTTGGTGCCTGCTGCCTAGAGGGCTCCTAGGCTCTGAGGAAGAGCAGTGGGCAGTGGGCGGCTGATCGTGCCACCTACAGAGGGGAGCAGGGAGGAGGCACAGAGAGCTGCTGACTCGATCTGCCCTGGGGATCCCTGGGTCCTCGTGTAATGTTGGGCCAGGGCTCAGAAGATGGCAGGGATGTTGGAACCCTGGGGTGGCCGATGTAGAAAAGGAATTTTGGGAAGGTTCGGGGCACACTTGGGGAAAGTTGGGAGCACCATGAGAAACGGGTGCTTTCAAGGAGGGCTGTAGGTGCCCTGCTGTGTAGGGGGCACTTACTGCTAAGATGTCGCCCCTATGAGTCTCCCCAGGGCCTCTTCAGGGCCTGGTCCATCGAATGGATGAAGGAAAGAGAGAATGGAAATGATGGGGCGGGGGGTGTTCTCTGTGATGCCTGGAAGAGTGGTGTCCAGGGAGGCCTGCAGGGAGGCCAGGGCTACGTTGATCTTTTTATTTATTTATTTTTTAATTAAAAAAATTTTTTTTGGTGCGGGGGCACTCCACGAGGCATGCAAGATCTTAGTTCCCCTACCAGGGATCGAACCCATGCCCCATGCAGTGGAAGCACAGAGTCTTAACCACTGGACCATCAGGGAAGTCCCCAGGGCCACGTTGATCTTAAGCTGCAGTGTTTGGCTGGAATCTGCTCCCTGCCCCACCCACGCTGCCTGGGCAAGGTCCCTTTCCAGTGCCATCCACCTGCTCCTCTGCATGGCCGTACTCAACCCTGTACCCCTCTCTCTGTGCCCATCCTCTGGTACCCACAGGACCCCACTCCCTTGGTGTTTTCTTGCCAACGGCACCTCCTTTCTCCGTTGTGGGCCTGTCTTCCCCCAGCGCATCCGTGTGGGGGTGCTCCTCAGCCTGTTGGTTGTCTCGTGTCCCCTTGGGCAGGCTCAGCAGTGTAGCCGCCGTCTCCCTGCCCTCACAGGTGGGTGTCTGTGGGCTACAGAGTCGCCCTCCATCCTGTCTTTTCCTCATAGCACTTACAGCCCGCTGTGTGTGTTGTCATGTCTAATGACATTCTCCTCGAGACCAGGAGTTCCGAGAGACTGGGGTGGGGGCGTGGTCCCCTTATTCACTGTTGCACCCCATGGAGGCCAGTGCCTGGGACCAGGCAGGCACTCCATAGATACTGCTGGAATGGAAAAGAGATTTCCACCTCGACGTCCCATAGGGACATCCCAGAGAAAAATGTTCAAGGGGGAACAGCCCCCTCTTATCTGCGTGTTTCCGCATCGTGGATGGCTTTGGGCCTCATTCTCCTGGAGGATGATGGCAGTCTCTCCCTAGCTTCCTCCCCTCCCTCCTGTCACTCGATCCGAGTAGCTGAGTGCATACTCAGTTCACCTTCACAAGCGCGTCTGCTCAGGTCGCCTTCAGAAGGACAGGATGATGTTCTGACCTCTCAGCAAGGGGTGTGCAGACCTGTCATGTCATTGCGTCTGCCATTCCTGCCTGGTCCTGCATCCTGTGCAGGGCAGTGTGTTGGAGCAGGAAGGCTGCCTCCAGTGACTTTTGTTCCTTCCTCACTTCTGTTTCCGGTAGATGGGATTGAGAGTGCTGGACTCCTGGAGCATGGAAGCTTTCACACCTTGATTCTGTGTTCTTCCAGATGGCGTCTCACCCTAAACTACCCCTGCCTGGCTTGTTCACATCGATGCCTCATTGTGTGTCTAGACTTTCAGTTGTGGTTCTCTTGCTCCTTGGTTCTCCTTTTAGGAGAACTCCCCCGTGTCACGTCCCCACTGCAGGCCCTGAGTTCTGCGTGGCTCGGAGGGAGGCCCTGCATTCTGTGCCAAATGGCAGGCACACGTCTTCAGCTGGCCTTCGTCATGGCGGTCATTTGGGTCCCTGGGGAGAATCGTGTATCATCCTTCAGATCCCTCTTCTCCTTTCGCGTCTTCTTTTCCTTTTTCTGTCCTATTTACAAAAAGCAGTGTGTGCTAACGTGGATCACTGGAGCACTCAGAAAGCCGGGAGAGGTAACCAGTTCACAGGTAGGAATCACTGTACACATGTGGTGTCCGTCCTGCCAGGTTTAGATTCAAGTGGATGTGATCACTGTGTGCTTACCAGCCAGGTCATAACTGCGTGCTGATTTGGGCCCTCCCTTTTCACTTGAGCAAACATCGTAAACGTTCTGCCTGTGCCATTTTTACCGCTTTGTGGTATTCTGTCCCAAGGAGACAGCAGTTCATTATTGGCTTAACTAGTTCTTGACTATTTCCAGTCCTTTACTGTCACCTGCAGTCCCGCCCTGAAGAAGGGCAAACTGATCCAACCCTCTTGCCCTTCTGCCTTCCTGCATATCTGATCATTACAGAATCCCAGGAGGAGACCCTAGAGTATCGGGAAGGCCTAAAGAAATTCTGGTTTTTATTATTTGACAAAAGCAAATTCTGGTTTTGTCAAATAATAAAAAGAAAGAAATTATTTTTAAAGAAATTAACAAATAAAGGAATTCTGGTTTTTATCATTTGACAAAAGCACGATCCTGCCAGTGATAAAGCTACTTTTCATTTATCACACTTAAACCTGAAGCAGCTTGTACCATTAAAATCCTTGCCAGAGCAGAAACACATCAAATGTTTGTCTTTAATTATGTAAAATTTTAAGCACACTAAAAGTAGAGGGAAGAGTTTAATAACTCCTATGTACTCACCACCCGTTCACAACAGATGCCAACGTTTTGCAAATGTCTTTACCCAAGTGTTTTTCATCTTAGAAATCATATTTCAATATGCACTTCTAGTAGCTGAGACTGTTTTCTTTTACATTACCACAGTGCCATACTACAGCTTAATTAATAATAATCTGATACCCAGTCCATATTCAAATTTCCGTGATTATCTAAAAATATCACCTTGTGTTTGGTTGTGAGATCTCCTGAGTCTTTTTTTTTTTAATTTTTAAAATTTTGAGGTAATTGTAGATTCACATGCAATTGTTAAAAAACAATGATGCAGAGAGATCCTGTGTATTCTTTATCTGGTTTTCTCCAGTGGTAATATTTTGCAAATCTGTAGGACACCATCCTAACCAAAACATTGACATTGCTACAGTCAGATGCAGAACAGTTCCATCCCCACAGGGATCTCTCTAGTTGCCCTTTTACAGCCACACCCACTTCCCTCCCATCTCATTCCTTTCTGATCCTTGGCAACCACTAATCTGTTCATTTGTATAATTTCAGCATTTTAATAATGTACAGTGGAATCATACAGTATGTAACCTTTGGAGATTGGCCTTTTTCACTCAGTATAATCCTCTGGAGATTCTCCTGGGTTGTTGTGTATATCCGTAGTTGATTCCTTTTCATAGCCAAGTAGAATTCCATGGTGCTGTGGGACCACGGTTCATTGAAGCAGTTACCCATTGAAGGAGATCTGGCGTGCTTCAGTTTTGGGCGATTATGAATAAAGCTGCGCTAAACATTTGAGTACAGGATGTTCTGTGAACTTAAGTCTTCGTTTCTCTGGATGAATACCCAGGACAGTTGCTGGGTCCTGTGATAGTTGCATGTTTAGTTTAGTTTTTTTTTTTTTTAATCTGCCAAGCTGTTTTCCAGAGTAGTTGTACCTTTTTACATTCCCACAAGCTCCGTATGAGTGATCCAGTTTCTCTGCATGCTTACCAGTGTCACCAATTCTTTTTTTTTAAATAAATTTATTTATTTATTTATTCTTATTTTTGGCCGCGTTGGGTCTTCATTGCTGTGCACAGGCTTTCTCCAGTTGCTGCGAGCGGGAGCTACTCTTCGTTGTGGTGCATGGGCTTCTCATTGCGGTGGCTTCTCTTGCTGTGGAGCACGGGCTCTAGGCATGCAGGCTTCAGTAGTTGTGGCACGTGGGCTCAGTAATTGTGGCTCGCGGGCTCTAGAGCGCAGGCTCAGTAGTTGTGGTGCACGGGCTTAGTTGCTCCATGGCATGTGGGATCTTCCTGGACCAGGGCTCGAACCTGTGTCCCCTGCCTTGGCAGGTGGATTCTTTTTTTTTTTTGGCTGCTTTGGGCGTTGGGTCTTTGTTGCTGCACGCGGGCTTTCTCTAGTTGCAGTGAGCAGGGGCTATTCTTTGTTGCAGTGCGTGGGCTTCTTGTTGCAATGGCTTCTCTTGTTGTGGAGCATGGGCTCTAGGTGCACGGGCTTCAGTAGTTGTGGCCTGTGGGCTCAGTAGTTGTGGGTCACGGGCTCTAGAGTGCAGCCTCAGTAGTTGTGGTGCATGGGCTTAGTTGCTCCGTGGCATGTGGAATCTTCCTGGACCAGGGCTTGAACCCATGTCTCCTGCATTGGCAAGCGGACTCTTAACCACTGTGCCACCAGGGAAGTCCCGGTGTCACTATTTCTTGTTTTAGCCATTCCAATAGGTGTGTGGTGGCCTCTCACTGTGGTTTTTCAAGACAATTTTTTTTTAATTGAAATATAGTTGATTTATAATATGTTAGTTTCAGGTGTACAGCAAAATGATTCAGTTATATGTGTAACTTTTCAGGTTCTTTTCCATTATCAGTTATTACAGTATATTGAATATAGTTCCCTGTCACAGTGGTTTTTAATTTACATTTCCTAGCTAACGATATGCTGGCCATCTTTTCATGTGGTTATTTGCCATCTATATATCCTCTTTGGTGAATTGTTCATGTCTTATGCTCCTATCCTCATTGGATTGTTTCCTTTTTTGTTGTTAAATTTTGAGAGTTCTGTATGTATTGCAGATACTAGTCCTTTGTTGGATATGTGATTGGCAAATACAGTTGACATTTGAACAACACAGGTTTGAACTGTGCAGGTCCACTTATATGTGAATTTTTTCTTTTCTTTTTTCTTTATTTAAAAAAAATTTATTTTTTTATTTTTCAGTAAATGTGTACTACAGTACTACTTGATCTGAGGTTGGTTGACTCCATAGATGTGGAACTGCAGGTACAGAGGAACTGTATATGGAGGGCTGACTATAAGTTACACTCGGATTTTTGACTGTGTGGAGGGTGGGCACCCCTAACCCCCACATTGTTCAAGGGTCAGCTGTATTTCCTTCTCATCTGTAGCTTGTCTCTGCATCCTCTTATCAGGGTCTTTTGTAGATCAAACATTTTAAATTTTGATGAGGTCCAGTTTATCAATTTTTTTTCCTTATGAATCAGGTTTTTGGTGGCAAGTCTGAACTCTTTGCCCAGCCCCTGATCCTGAATATTTTCTCCTCTGTTTTTTTAATATTAATTAATTAATTTATTTTTGCTGTGTTGGGTCTTCGTTTCTGTGCGAGGGCTTTCTCTAGTTGTGGCAAGCAGGGGCCGCTCTTTTTTTTTTTTTTTTTTTTTGTGGTACGTGGGCCTCTCACTGTTGTGGCCTCTCCTGTTGTGGAGCACAGGCTCCAGACGCTCAGGCTCAGTGGCCATGGCTCACGGGCCCAGCCGCTCCATGGCATGTGGGATCTTCCTGGACCGGGGCACAAACCCGCGTTCCCTGCATCGGCAGGCGGACTCAACCACTGCGCCACCAGGGAAGCCCTGGGGCCACTCTTCATCGCGGTTCTTGGGCCTCTCACTATCGCGGCCTCTCTTGTTGCGGAGCACAGGCTCTAGACACGCAGGCTCAGTAGTTGTGGCTCACGGACCCAGTTGCTCCGTGGCATGTGGGATCCTCCCAGACCAGGGCTTGAACCCGTGTCCCCTGCATTAGCAGGCAGATTCTCAACCACTGTGCCACCAGGGAAGCCCCTTTCTCCTGTTTTTTCCTAAAAGTTTTATAGTTTTACATTTACGTCCATGATCCACTTGGAATTAATTTTGTAAAAAGTGTGAGACTTAGGTCTCCAGGCTCATTCTCTTCCAATGGATGGCTAGTTGCTCCAGCACCATTTGTGGAACAGGCCTCTTTCCTCCTGAGTGGCTTTTGCACCTTTGTCAGAAGTCAACTGGGAGCATCTGTGTGGGTTTGTTCCTGGGCTCACTGTTCTGTTCCATGGTTCTACGTGTCTTTCCTCCATCACTGCCACACTGTCGTAATTACTGTAGTTTTATAGCAAGCCTTGGAATTGAGTAGACTGATTCCTCCCACTTTATTCTTTTTCAACATTGTTTTAACTCCTTTGCCTTTCTGTATAAATTTTAGAGTAATCTTATCTGTATCAACAAAGAATCATGTTAAGCCTGCGTATCAGGCTTAACATGTGATAAGCCTGCTTATCACATGTTGTTGCTTTGGCCTCCAGAAGGCCATTCCACTCAGTTTATTTTCCCACTGGCAGGGCCCAAGATGTGTTGCCACCTTTGCCAACCCTGCATGGCACCTCTCTTTGACTTTGCCAACCTGATAGCAAACAACTGGCATTTCATTCTATTTTGCTGTACCTAAATTGAACATCTCCCCTAACTTTGCTGCATCTCTTCTTTCAGAATCACCTTTTTCTTATCCTTTGCTCATTTTTAAATTGGGATGTCTTTTTCTTCAGGATTTATGAAAGCTCTTTCTCATGTCTCAGTTCTCTCGGCAGTGTTCACCTTAGCTCTGGCTTAGAAACTTCTCATCTGGCAGTTGGAGTGAGCTGTCAGTTTCAGGGAGGTTCAGGATTCCCCAGTTTTTGCTGATGCTCTTTGAGTGCTACTGAGTTATGTCCCGGTTTCCTTACCTGCAGAATGTGGTCCGGCCTGCCTGGAGGGCCGTGCGCACCGCCAAGGTAATGGTTGTGCAAATAGTGAGGGGAACTATCTCTACGTGGAAGGCGAAGTGCAAGGATTATCAAGTGAGCACTTCTCTAGCCTTGTTTTTGAGTCAGCATCTTGCTTTCCAAGGAGGAACTCAGACAGGGATGTCTTTTGGTGTAAAGTGCCTAACTTCCTGCAAAACTTGGCAACAGCTTTGAAAAACACAGCCGTTATGGGGTCTCAGTTTTCCTGAGGAAATGGCAGGCTGCGCTGGTTTTCAAGTTAGTTCATATGCTTAAGTCAAGTCTTGCACTTTGACCATGTCTGTTGAATAAAATGTACCATGACATAAACACGTGTTTTGCCTTTTCTTAGGTGAGCATGCACGGGAGGCTGTGCAGTGGCCCTGTGTCTGGCTCTGTCATGCCTGGGCTGTTTTTGCAGGGTGCAGAGTAGGTTAGTGCCACATGGCCTGGGTCTCCTCTGGCTCCGTCACTCCTTGGCTGTGTGACCCTGAGCAAGGTAACCTCAGTCTCCTCACACATAAATTGGGACGAACAGTAGTACCTGCCCATAGCATTGTTTGGGACAATTAAATGAGGTACAGGATAGAAAATAGTGAGGCTCAGTAAATGTGATCCACTATTTATCAGAACAAGGCATTATACTTTTCTAAAAGTTTTAAAATGAAAATTAATTTGCTTTACAAATGTCATTTTGAAACAAGCAAGGCCAGCGATCATTGCTTTGTTTTGCATAAGAGCTCCCGCCCATGGATGAAAGCAGGAATCAGAGAGCTGGATGGACTCAATCCTGAGAGGGTTAGGTGTGGCCAGAACCCCAGTCCTCAGGGTTTCCCCTCCAAAGTAGTACTGCTGTGTTCCTCATCTCAAGCTGGTTTTCTCCAGCATTAAAATTGCGCACACTTGCATGAACTGTGGAGTTTAAAGGCCTCCCAGCAGAAGGATGTTCCCTGATGTGCTGCCCTCCCAGTCTCCCCATTTGTAGGTTGCCTCTGGGGTGGAGGTTAGAGCGAAGAGGCCACAGGAACTTTTCTTAGTATTTTAGGAGATCAACTGAAAGATCAAATTGAAAGTTATATTGAACTTCAATGAATAATTCAGAGTCAAAGATGGCGTCTTAGCACAGTGGGCTGGTGGAGGAGAACACCCTCCTGGGCCGGCTCCGTCCGTTCTTGAAGCCATCTCAGAGCTGTCTGCAGCCTCTTACACTGAAGGCCTTGTCCCCTGGCCTGTCCTCTGGGCTCGCTTTGGGGTTAGGCAGAGGTGGGCAGCTCTGGTGCCCACTCTCAGCTCTCAGGGGGCTCTGTCCCAGCAGAGCGGCTGCCTGTACCAACAAGCTGTTTGTGTCTAAGGTCTCTGCCTGTCACTTGGGGACTCGAGGCCTTAGCAGCATTCATCCTCAGCTCTGTTGCAACGGTGTATTGGGCAGGTTGCAGGTGTGACTCCGCTGTCGCCAGGAGGAAGTAGTGTGGTAAGAGGAAGTGCCATTAGATCTGTTGGTGTTCTCCCTTTACTCCCCCTTCTGCTTATGTAGTGCCTGAGGTATGTGTAATTAAATCAGAACCTTTCACTGCTGTCACTGTCCCAGGTTACCCAAATTGATTCCTGTACTTAGAGAGGAATGGGTGAGGCATATTCTGTGGTTTTCTGTTAGTTGTGGGTCATTTGGGATCAACACTTGGCCATAGACTGTCTGTAGGATGAGCCCTTAGCATCGATGGTCCAAGCTTTGGGCCTGGGGCTTCAGAGCCTTTTCTGGACTATTTGGGGTCTTGTTCCTCTTAATTATGGATCTAGTTCAGAAGCGTTTGGGAAGTTTGAGACAGTTATTAACCATCTATGCTCCAAATATCGTAACTTTTTTTCATTGGAATCGTAGTAGCTTGGAAACCTCTCTCTTGCTTACCATGAGATCTTAAAAAAATCCCACTGGAAATGCATTTCAGACCCGTGCCTCTCTGATTGCTGGCAGGAAGGGGACCTTTGTCAAGGTGGGGGTCCCTAGGGTCTCTGCATTCCATTTCCATGAGCCGGGGCACAGGATGTGCTATCTAGACCCAGCACGGTTACCTTTACTGATAGATGACAACAGCCTGCCTGACTTTGCTTCCTCTTTCAGCCTTACTTCTCCGGGGAGATGTGTTTTGAAAGCATGCAGAGCTTTTTTAATTTTAATTAGTTAATTATTTTAAATTGAGGTTATGGTTGACATATAACATTATATTAGTTTCAGGTGTACGATGTAATGATTTGCTATTTATACACGTTGTGAAATGATCACAGTACTTAACATGCATCACCATATAGTTATAAAATCTCTTTTCTTGTGATGAGAACTTTTAAGATCTACTCTTAGCAACTTTCAGTATACAGTACAGTATTATTGACTATATTAACCATGCTGTACATTATATCTCATGACTTATTTTATAACTGGAAGTTTGTACCTTTTGACCACCTTTACCCATTTCACCTACCCCCTATTCCCATCTCTGGCAACCACCCATCTGTTCTCTGTATCTGTGAGTTTGGTTTCTTGTTTTTGTTTTTTAGATTCCACATATAAGTGAGATCATCCAGTATTTGTCTTTCCCTGTTTAACTTATTTCACTTAGCATAATGTCTTCAGGGTTCATTCACATTGTCACAAATGACAAGATTTCCTTCTTTTTAATGACTGAATAATATTCCTCTGTGTGCATGAGTGTGTGTGTGTGTACACACCACAGTTTCTTTATCTGTTCATCCATTGATGAGTAAATATTTAGGTTGCTTTCATGCTTGGCTATTGTAAATAATGCTGCAGTGAACATGGAGTTGTTGTTTGTTTGTTTGTTTTTCTTAGTGTTTTCGTTTCCTTTGGATAAATACCCAAAAATGAAATTGCTGGATCATATGGTAGTTCTGTTTTTAACTTTTTGAAGAACCTCCATACTGTTTTCATAGCAGCTGTACCCATTTGCATTTCCACCAACAGTGTGCAAGGGTTCCCTTTTCTCCACGCCCTCTCCAACACTTTGTTATTTCTTATCTTTTTGATGCTAGCCATTCTAACAGGTGTGAGGTGAGATAGTGTAGTTTTGATTTGCATTTCCCTGATGATTAGTGGTGTTGAGCATCTTTTCACATACCTGTTGGCCATCTGTATGTCTTCTTTGGAAAAATGTCTGTTCAGATGCTCTGCCTATTTTTTAATTGGGTTGTTTGTTTTTTTACTATTGAGTTGTATGAGTTCATGTGGGGTTTTAAACCCTGGAGATCAAACAGGGTGTGATGGTGGACATTGCCATCTAAGTCATAAGAAGCTAAAGGCGACAGCCTCCCCCAGGACGGTATACACAGGGGCCCAGGGCGGGAGGAACCCTCCCTCCAGGGAGCTGCTGTAGCTGTACATTTAGCTCTTTTTTATTTTTGGCTGCGCCATGTGGCTTGCAGGATCTTAGTACGGCAGTGAAAGCGCAGAGTCCTAACAACTGGACCACCAGGGAATTCCCCACTTAGCTCTCATTTCTTCTTATTGGTGTTGTCGCCTTTTGTTTCTCAAGCCGTTGGCCTTTACCCTCCTTTCTTGCTTTTTCACATTGTTCTGCCTAGTTTTTTAGCTTTTTCTGCCTTTTCAGGATTTCCCTCTTTCTTTTCCCGTTTTTCTTTTTTTTTTTTGACTTTCCTCTGCTGCCTTTCAGATCTTTTTGCTCTTTTCCTTCTGTTTTCCTTCTCTCTTGCTGGTGTTCTTGTACTTTCGCTTCTTTCTGCATTTGCAGGTGTTGGCATCCTCCAGAGGAGCTGACTGTAATCTGGGCATTATTTTAAACCTGAAATGACTTTTTACAGCACAGCGGAATGCAAGTGTTGGGCTGGTTCAAATCAGTGATTGTAACTGAAGGGAACCCGCCTCCCCCCAGTTTTATTCATTATGAAAAGTTGCACAACAGCATTCAAAGACTTTTAAAATAAACACTGTCATCCCGCCTCTCATCTGGTACTCATTTTTCCTGGCATTCTTCTCTTTACCTGTTTACACACCAGTTCTTCCATAAGATTAAGCATAATGGTGTCTTCTTCACTTTTCTTGCTCACTAAATCAACGGCAAGTTAGCCATGTCCTGCTTTTTTCCCGTCATGAGGTAAAAGACCAACACGTGTAAGCCTTTACAGCTAACATCTTAGTGGCTGCTGAATTCCTACCCCTGCTGGCATACTCCTGCAGATCCCCTCCTCCCCACTGGCGGGTGGCTTGCTGAGGTTGGGAAGAGAGACCGTGACACGGTGGGATGTGTGAGGGTTTGGCCGCCAACCAGGCTGCATCCAGGCGTGGCCTCAATTTGCCGCTTGATCCTAGACTGGGTGGTTACCTTCTCTGAACAGCGACATCTTGGGGAATCTGGAATGTCTGGAACACGGAGTGTCTTCGGTGCCAAGCTGAGGATTTTGAACTTCCTGCCTGTCATTGTGGGAGCAGTCACTGGCCAGCTCGCTCCTGGCGGCCGGGGCTGGTCAGTGGTTTTTGCGCAGCCCTTGGGTGGGCGGCTGGTGGAGGACGAGATGGGTGGGGATGAGACCTGGAGCAGGGAAACCAGTCTGAAGCTTCTGTGACTGGTGATTCATGATGATGTGCAGAAACTCCTGTTCTGGTTCCGGAGCCAGAGAACGATCTCAAAGGATAAGGGTGTCTTTTCCCTCTGAGCTCCTGGACACACCGAAATCCCATCGGTCAGTGAATAGAAAACGGCTCTGGTCTACTGCTCCTTCCTGAACGACTGTGTTGTTTGTGTTGGAATCGGGATTATTTAAGAGCATTAACATTTCCTTTTTCTAAATCGAGTTAAGTGTGTTATCTCTGAAAATAAACTACAGTCCACGTATAGAGCACGTTTAAAGTGCATAAATTTTGATTTTCATTATTGTGTATTTTAGTGATAACAGAATTGAGGGACACTTTTTTTTAGAAGGGTTTTGTGTCCACCTTTGACCAATATCTGTGGTTTTGTTTACAGATTCCCACTGGAAATCCATTATATGAATCTTATTACAAGCAGGTAAGTTTTCACTAGTGTCTTTTTGGATTGAAATTAGAGTGAGTGACTCAGAAACCACAGCTGTGAATTGCGGCCCAGTAAGGCCTTTCGTCCCTTTCTGTTTCCAAATTATCAGCTAGCAGCCAGTGTCATGGGTAATGCTTTTACCTGCTGCTCTGTTGCTGAAGCCTTGTCTCAAGTGTTGCTCCCCAATTCCAGGTAGACCCAGCATACACAGGGCGAGTTGGGGCGAGTGAAGCTGCACTTTTTCTAAAGAAGTCTGGGCTCTCAGACATTATCCTTGGGAAGGTATGTGATGAATGATAGCGATTTCTGTGGCCGCCCTCAGGGCTCCCCCGGCAGGTGAAGGCCGGCCTGTGCAGACCCCTCTTCATGCGGTCTGTACTTCCCTTGGAAGTGAGCTGGCCATTGTGAGCGTCTCGGGTCTGTAATTGGTAGATCCAAGTGCTCTGATGGCTACTGCCACCCTTTGCTTGCATAGCAGACAAGAGGCCTGAGTGCTCTTGGGATCTTGATAGCTATGGATTTATGTTGGCCTTGGAGCCAGGTGTACCTGGGTGTTCTCTGGGCTCTGCCACTGACCGCTGTGTGGCCCTGGGGGGAGGGAGGGGTGAAAGCTATTCACCTGTTCTGAGTCTGTGGCTGCTGTGGCGTATACATAAGGCCCACATGTAGCGATGGTGGCTCCTGTTTTGTGATTAAACAGTCAATGATCAGCGGTCGCACTCACGAGCATTTTTGTGTTTCCACAGATATGGGACTTGGCCGACCCAGAAGGTAAAGGGTTCTTGGACAAACAGGTATATACCCGTATACACAGAGCAAGTGGAGGGGCTGGGCCAGAGCCCCCAGGCCGGGTCACCTCTCCACTTCCTTCCTCGTTGTCTCCACTGACAAGTATTACTGGTCATAAGTGCGGACATCAGACTGTTAAAACGGGAAGGTTTCATTTTGAAATAAAAGTCTTTTGAACTCTTGGAGCCATCTTTCATGGTTAGCGTATCTGGTAATATTTTGTGTGCTTACAAGCAGTTGAAATGTTTTCAAAACGTTTTATTTTGAAATAACTTCAGACTCTGATGGAAGTTGCAAAAAATAGTTCAGTGAGTTCCCGTGTATCATTTCCCAGCTCTCACCAGACCACACTGCTCAGAAGCCTGACTCAGAGCTGACCAGTTTTATTGATACCTGCACTTTCTTGTGGTTTTTGTTTCTGTCGTATATAGTTCTGTGTAATTTCATCACTTGCATAGATTCACGTAACCATCACAACAGTCAGGATCAGAACATTCTCAGACCCCAGAGTCTCCCTCATGCAGCCCATTGGTAGTCACACCCTGACCCCTGGCAACCACTGGTTCCTTCTCTGACATAATTTTGTCATTTTGAGAATGTTCTATAAATGGAATGTTATAGTACTTATGATTTTTAAGTGGTCATATTTTAATTTAGTTCAGTCTTTCCCCAAACTATATTCCAAGGGATGTTGTTCCTGGTGTCTCACTGTCCGTGAGCTGACCCGTCGGGAAAGCACCGTTAGCTTTTCCTCCCTCGCTTGAGATTCACAGTACACATCTGGGTGTTAAGGGTTCTGAGGATCTTTGTGTAAGAGAGCCCTGTTAACTTTGCTTAATGCAGTTCTTCTAACCTTACTAATGTCCCCATTTCTCTACACTCTACACGGGCATTCTGTAGACATCAGCTTGAGAAAAGCTGCTCTAGTGCTCATCTCTTTGAAGAAGTTTTTAAAACCATAATTGTGTTTACAGTTTTAAAAAGAGTCCATGTTCTTAGGCCCGTTGATCAATTTAAAAAAAACTAGGTGATGCTACACGAGTCCACTAAGACTGTGGCATGGCCAGTTCTGGGTTAGGAGGAGGGCGAGGAGGAGTCAAGGCCCCTGCTGGCCTGGTTCAGGTCCTTTGTCCTTATGTGGGAAGTGAAGTCCACGTCAGGCCATTGGGGAGTAGGGAGGGTGAGTAGGAGATGCTCTGTTCAGTGAGGCCAGGGGCATCCCAGGGAATCGCGAGTGTCAATTCCCAAACAACTGTGTCTATTTCAAACCATTTTTAAAAAGTCAACGCATATTTGAACCATCCTTTAGACTCTTAAACTGCAGTCTGCTACTTTTACAATCTAGCATTTCCTAAATGTTGAGATTATTTTTGAAAATACATTTATTTGAAAATACATTTATTTGAAATTTTACGGTGTTCAGAAAGCAATGGGCTAAGTCCATTTTAGCATATTCATTTAAACAGTGCTCCCAGGGTGAGACCAGTTCTGCTCAACACTGTAAGTGACTTGCTCACATGTGGTCTTCCTTGTTGAAGTAAACTGAAATCCCTCTTTCCCCAAAGCCCACTGCTGCAGACAGCTCTGCCACTGCCGCTGCCAGCTGGGTGGGGTTTACGCCTCCCCCTTTTTTGGATTTGCAGGGTTTCTATGTTGCACTGAGACTAGTGGCCTGTGCACAGAGCGGCCACGAAGTTACCTTGAGCAATCTGAATTTGAACATGCCGCCGCCTAAGTTTGTAAGTGTCAAAATCCTTCAAGTTCACGTTCTTCTAATATCATCTATTTATCTATCTCTCCATGTTTTCTCTCTCCCTCTTTTTAATTTTTTTTTTAATTGCAGGGAAATTTACATAATCTAAAATTAACTGTTTAAAAATGAACAATTGGGTGACATTTAGTGCATTCACAATATTATGGTAACCATCACTTCTAACTGGTCAGAATATTTTCGTCACCCCAAAAGAAAACTCTACACCCATTAAATAATCATTCCCTATTTCCCCCTCCCCCAACCCTTGGCAGCCACTAATCTGCTTTCTGTCTCTATGCATTTGCCTGTTCTGGACATTTTATAGAGTCATACAGCTGGCTTCTTTCACTCAGCATAATGTTTTCAAGGTTCATCCACATTGTAGCATGTGTCAGTACTTCATTCCTTTTCGTTGCTGAATAAGATTGCATTGTGCGGTCTACCCCATTTTGTTTATCCATTCGTCTGTTGGTGGACATAATAATTCATGCACAAGGAATTGTTTGCACACCTGTTTTCAGTTCTTTTGGGTCTATACCTAGGAGTAGAATTGCTGAGTTATATGGTAATCCTGTGTTTAACTTTTTGAGGTTTTTCTCCATTTTGAAAGCACTTTGAAATGTGTACCCTTATAGTGAACACATCCTCCAGTAGTAGAATTCTGTGCCAGCTACAGTGCAATGTACCTCTTTCTCCTCAGCACGACACCAGCAGCCCTTTGATGGTCACGCCGCCTTCTGCAGAGGCCCATTGGGCTGTGAGGGTAAGTGACCGGGGAAGGCGCCCCTCGGCTGTCTTTCACATGCAGTCGTTTAGCCATTTATGACGTTCAGAACATTTCATAGGACGATTGTATCATCCACTCTGTTTCAGAGTGAGTATGCCACAGAAGTTGGACAAAATACTTTTCCAAATTAGAGTCTTTGCAAAGGCTATCTATCCCCTTTTCCTATAATTGGGTGTTGCCTACTAAGGCAGTTAGGTAAGTTTCAGATGTTGGACTCTGAAATGTTTACAGTTGAAATCTCGTATTTCTAGGTCATGTTCTGTGGTTTTGCTGCTTGGGTTGGTTAATCAGGATAGAAGGAGAAATTGTGAGAACTCTCAAGCATGAAGACTTCCAGGATGTCTTCGTAGCTTTCTTCGTTATTTCCAGCCAGTTTATGCGTTATAATTCTTTCCTTTCTGTTTTGCTCCTATTGCTTTTTGAAAAGCTTCTCTCAACACTTAATGTGTTCTTTTTAGGACAGGATGTTGTGGCTGTAGAGCTGTGTTACTGCTTCTAGAAAGAAAAACGAGTGGTGTCTCCTAATAAGTGCGGAATTTACTCCAGAAGGCAACTTGTGTATGGCTTGGAGACAGTCTCCCAGTAATAAGACCTCCTCCCAACTCACTGTGAGCGGGTTGTCACATTTCCTCACTTTTATCTGGTTTAAATACTGACATTAATAGCAGTCCTGCTATGAAATAGACACCCCTCACCCACCCCCCCAGCCCCAAGTGCTTTTTTGTCCCTTTTTATGGGGTTGGTGTGTTCCCTCCTTGAAAGGGTTTATATGGGAGAGGTCGGGTGCAGGGACAGGGCAGGAAGAGGCCTCAGGTGACTGAGGGGTCAGGAAGTTGCCTTTGTGAGCAATCAAGCATGTTGCTGCAGTGCCGAAGGATTTCTTTCTCTGTAGTCCAATTGCACGGCGCCTACTTTGAAAAGCAGCTGCTTTGTTGTGAAAATGGTGCCAAAGGGATCTTATTATTCCTTGAACCATTTCGGCCCCTTTCTGGCAGGAACTGTGTTGAGGCCTCAAGAGAAGAGCTGGCGGCTGAGGAGCCTGTGAGGCCTTGGAGAGGGGAGTTGGGGCAGGAATGGCACTGTGGTGGGGCAGAGAGCTTTGCAGTCCATTCAGAGAAACGGTGACAAGTGTTAATGTTCTTTTCTGTGGTGGAAGTTCCTGGGCTTCCTGAAGCCTGAGCCAGCGAGTCTGACAGATCCAGGGAGAGTTCCACACTCCAGGCGGATGCAGGGAGTTGGGATTCTCATTGCTTATGGTGACTCGAGTACACAGTGTCTGCTTGTGCTCTGATTTGTTTTTTCTCTTTTTTTAAAAAAATTGTGGTAAAATACACATAATATAAAGTTCACTATCTTTTTTAAAAAAAATTTTTATTTTTGGCTGTGTTGGGTCTTTGTTGCTGCACATGGGCTTTCTCTAGGTGAGGCAAGCAGGGGCTACTCTTCGTTACGGTGTGCGGGCTTCTCATTGTCGTGGCTTCACTTGTTGCAGAGCATGGGCTCTAGAGCGCAGTCTCAGTAGTTGTGGCTCACGGGCTTAGTTGCTCCACGGCATGTGGGATCTTCCCGGCCAGGGATCGAACCTGTGTCTCCTGCATTGGCAGGCGGATTCTTTACCACTGTGCCACCAGGGACGCCCTGTATGTCTTCCTTGGAAACATGTCTGTTCAGATCCTCTGCCCATTTTTTAATCAGGTTGTTTTTTGATATTGAGTTGAATGAGTTCTTTGTATATTTTTAGATATTAACCCCTTATCAGATAAATCATTTGTAAATCTTTTCTCCCATTCAGTAGGCTGCCTTTTCATTTTGTTGGTGGTTTTCTTTGCCGTTGCAAAAGCTTTTAAGTTTAATTAGGTCCCATTTCTTTATTTTTGCTTTTGTTTCCTTTGCTTTAGGAGACAGATCCAAAAAAAATATTGGTATGATTTATGTCAAAGAGTGTTCTGCCTATGTTTTCTTCTAGGAGTTTTCTGGTTTCTGGTCTTACATTTAGGTCTTTAATCCATTTTGAGCTTATTTTTGTATGTGGTGTAAGAAAATGTTCTAATTTCATTCTTTCACATGTAGCTGTCCAGTTTTCCCAGTACCACTTATTGAAGATATTGTTGTTTCTCCATTGTCTATTTTTGTCTCCTTTGTCTTGGATTAACTGACCATAAGTGCATAGGTTTATTTCTGGGCGCTCTGTTCTGTTCCATTGATCTTTGTGTCTATTTTTTGTGCCAGTACTATACTGTTTTGATTACTGTAGTTCTGTAACATCAGTTAGGGAGCTTGATATCTCCAGCTCTGTTCTTTCTCAAGATTGTTTTGTCTATTTGGAGTCCTTTGTATTTAATACAAATTTTAAAATTATTTGTTCTCATTCTTTGAAAAATGTCATTGGTATTTTGATAGGGATTGCATTGAATCTGTAGGTTGCCTTGGGTAGTATGGTCATTTTAACAATATTAATTCTTCCAATCCATGAGCACGATATATCTTTCCATCAGTTTGTGTTGTCTTCAGTTTCTTTCATCAGTGTCTTGCAGTTTTCTGAGTATAGATCTTTTACCTCCTTAGTTAGATTTATTCTTAGATATTTTATAGTTTTTGATGCAACTGTAAATGGGATTGTTTCTTTAATTTCTCTTTCTGATAGTTCGTTGTTAGTGTACAGAAATGCAACGGAATTCTGTGTATGTTGCATCCTGCAACAAATTCATTGATGAGCTCTAGTATTTTTTTGGTGGTGTCTTGAGGATTTTCTATGTATAGTATCATGTCATCTGCAAACAGGGACAGTTTTACTTCTTCCTTTCCAATTTGGATTCCTTTTATTTCTTGTCTGATTGCTGCATCTAGGACTTCCAATACTATATTGAAGAAAAGTAGCAAGAGTGGGGGCATCCTTGTCTTGTTCCTGATCTTAGAGGAAATACTTTCAGCCTTTCACCATTGAGTATAATGTTTGCTGTGGGCTTATCATATATGGCCATTATTATGTTGAATTATGTTCCTTCTCTACCCACTTTCTGGAGAGTTTTTATCTCAAATGGATGTTGAATTTTGTCAAAAGCTTTTACTGCATCTATTGAGATGATCATATGATCTTTATTCTTCGATTTGTTAATGTTATGCTATTGATATTGAACCCATCCTTGCATCCCTGGAATAAATTCCACTTGATCATGGTGTATGATCCTTTTAATGTATTGTTGAATTTGGATTGCTAATATTTTATTGAGGATTTTTGCATCTATATTCATCAGTGATATTGGCCTGTCATTTTCTTTGTCTGGTTTTGGTATCAGGGTGATGCTGGCCTTGTAGAATGAGTTTGGAAGCTTTCCTGCCTCTTAAATTTTTTGTGGTAGTTTGAGAAGGATAGGTGTTAACTCTTCTTTAAATGTTTCATAGAATTTGTCTGGTTCCTGGACTTTGTTGGGAGTTTTTAAAATTACTAATTCAGTTTCATTACTGGTAATCGGTCTGTTCACATTTTCTATTTCTTCCTAATTCAGTCTTGGGAGAGTATACATTTCTAGCAATTTATCCATGTCTGCTAAGTTTTCCAATTTGTTGGCATATAATTGTTCATAGTAATCCCCTATTATCCTTTGTATTTCTGTGATGTCAATTATAATTTCTCCTGTTTTATTTCTGATTTTATTTATTTAGGCCCCCCTTTTTTTTTTCCTTGATGAATCTGGCTAAAGGCTTATCAATTTTGTTTATCTTTTCAAAGAGCCAGCTCTTACTTTCATTGATCTTTTATATTGTCCTTTTGGTCTCTTTTTCATTTATTACTGCTTTGATCTTTATTATTTCCTTCCTTCTACTAACTTTGGGTTTTGTTTGTTTTTCTTTTTCTAGTATCTTTTGGTGTAAGGTTAGATTGTTTGAGATTTTTCTTGTTTCCTTAGGTAGGCTTGTAGCACTATAAACTCCCTCTTAGAACTGCTTTTGCTGTATACCATAGATTTTTTAAAAAAATATTTAAATTTTACTGGAATATAGTTGATTTACAATAGTATACCACAGAATTTGGATCACTTTGTTTCCATTTTCATTTGTCTCCAGGTATTTTTTGATTTTCTCTTTGATGTCTTCAGTGACCCATTGGTTGTTTAGTTATTGTTTAGAATGCATGTGTTTGTGTTTTTTGCAGTTTTTTTCCTGTAGTTGATTTCTAGTCTCATACTGTTGTGGTCAGAAAGACTGATATGATTCCAGTCTTAAATTTATTGAGACTTGCTTTGTGCTGTAGTGTGTGATCTGTCCTGGAGAATGTCCGATGTGCACTTGAATGTGTATTTTGCTGCTTTGGGATGGAATGTTCTATATATATCTATTAATTTCATCTGATCTAATGTATCACTTAAGGCCATTCTTTCCTTATTGATTTTCTGTTTAGATGATCTGTTGATGTAAGTGGGGTATTAAAATTCCCAATTATTATTGTATTACTGTCAATTTTTCCCTTTATGTTAATATTTGCTTTAGGTATTTTGGTGCTTCTATGTTGGGTGCATATCTGTGTTTACAATTGTTATATCTTCTTGTTGGATTGACCCCTTTATCATTATGTAATGCCCTTCTTTGTCTTTTGTTACAGTCTTTGTTTTACAGTTCTTTTGTCTGATGTAAATATTGCTACCCCAGCTTTCTTTTCATTTCCATTTGTGTGGAATATCATTTTCCAACCCCTCATTTTCAGTCTGTGTGTCTTTAGATCTGAAGTCTCTTAAAGGCAGCATATAGATGGGTCTTGTTTTTTATCCATCCAGCCACTCCATGTTTTTTGATTGGAGCATTTAGTCCATTTACATTTAAAGTAGTCATTGATAGGTATGTACTTATTGCCATTTTGTTCATTATTTTCAGTTCGTTTTGGTAGCTTTATTATTGTTGTTCCTTTTTTTCTTTTTTTAAATGCATGCTTTTCTAATTCTTTGTGGTGTTATTCCCATTTTTTTTAAATCAAATTTATTTATTCATTTTTGGCTGCGTTGGGTCTTCCTTGCTGCACGTGGACTTTCTCTAGTTGCGGCGAGCAGGGGCTACTCTTCGTTGTGGTGCGCGGGCTTCTCATTGTGGTGGCTTCTCTTGTTGTGGAGCACGGGCTTTAGGCACGTGGGCTTCAGTGGTTGTGGCACACAGGCTCAGTAGTTGTGGCTCATGGGCTCTAGAGCGCAGGCTCAGTAGTCGTGGCGCACGGGCTTAGTTGCTCCGTGGGGTGGGATCTTTCCCAGACCAGGGCTCAAACCCATGTCCCCTGCATTGGCAGTCGGATTCTTAACCACTGCGCCACCAGGGAAGTCTGAGTTCCTTTTTTCTTCTGCTCTTTTCCCTTGTGATATGGTGACTTTCTTTAGTGTTATGTTTGGATGCTTTTCTCTTTTGTGTCTATGTAGATCCATTATAGGTTTTTGGTTTGTGGTTACCGTGAGGTTCATGTATAACAACATATGCATAGGTGAGTATTTTAAGTTGATGCTCTCTTAGATTTAGAACGCATTCTAACAATCGTACATTTTTACTTCCCCTCACCACATTTTGTTTTTGACATCGTATTTTGCATCTTCTTATTTTGTGTTTTTCTTAACTACTTATTATAGAAATAGATGATTTTACTGCTGGTCTTTTAACCTTCCTACTAGCTTTATAAGTGGTTGATCCCTACCTTTACTGTATGTTTGCCTTTACCAATGAGATTTTTTTCCTTTCATAATTTTCTTGTTTCTAGTTGTGGCCTTTTCTTTTCCACTTAGAGAAATCTCTAGCATTTCTCATAAGGCTTGTTTAGTGGTGCTGAACTCTTACTTTTGCTTGTCTGTAAAACTCTTTATTTATCCTTCAAATCTGAATGATAATCTTGCTTGGTAGAGAGTATTCTCAGTTGTAAGTGTTTTCTTTCAGCACTTTGAATATATTGTGCCGGTTCCTTTTGGCCTGTAAAATTTCTGCTGAAAAGTCAGCAGAGTTTTATGGGACTTTGCTTGTATGTAACTACTTGCTTTTATGTTGTTGCTTTTAAGATTCTCTCTTTAATTTTTGCCATTTTAATCATGATGCCTTGGTGTGGACCTCTTTGGATTCATCTTATTTGGAACTTTCTGTGCTTCCTGGACCTGGATATCTGTTTTCTTCCCCAGGTTATGGAAATTTTCAGCTATTTCTTGAAATAAGCTCACTGTCCCTTTCTCTCTCTCTTCTCCTTCTGGGACCCTTATGATGTGAGTGTTAGTATGCTTGAAGTTGTCCTAGAGGTCCATCTTAACCATTTTTAAGTGTATAGTTCAGTAGTGTTAGACACATTCACGTTGTTGTGTAACCATCACCACTGTCCATCTCTAGAACGTTTTCATCTTGCAGAATAAAACTCTGTCCCCATTAAACACTAACTTTCCATTCCCCCTCCCCCAACCCATGGCACCCACCATGCTACTTTCTGTCTATTAATCTGAGTACTTTAGGGACCTCATGTAAGTGGAGTCATAGAACATTTATCTTCTTGTAACTGACTTATTTCATTCTGTGTAATGTTTTTATGGATCATCCATATTGTAGTGTGCATCAGTGTTTTATTCCTTTTAATGGCTGAATAATGTTCCATTGTATGGATGGACCATTTTGTTTATCCATTGTTCCATTGATGGACACTTGTCGAGAGTATTTTCCTAGGGCTCCCAGTGGCCCCAGCTTGTGGTCAGAGTGGTGAGAGGTTTGCCATATCCTCACTTCCCCTTGCCACAGGCTTTATTTCCATAGGAGGGCAGACTGGAGGCCCCTGCCCAGACCCTCCTCACTGACAGCTCCCTTTACATGCTGCCCGCATTTTGTATTTCAGAATGGTAGAGGCTGCTATTCTGCATTGCAAACCCTGCCCAGCCCTTCACTCTGTTCCTGAGGAGCTTTATTATTTATTTATTTTTTATTGTCAGACACAGAGGACTTCTTATGCTTAAAGTTGATTTTGATAATTAGTTGCTTACATCTTTGGTTTATTTTTATATTTGGTTCTTTAGTTGTTTAAGTTCTATGGACTGATATCCAGATTTAGTTCTTTGTTCTTTCATCTTTCTCATCCTAGTGAGCTAGGAGGTAGGTAGGAATGATCTTGGTCTCCCAGGCATCCCCTGTGGCAGAGAGTGAAGCCCAGCTCCTCTCTCCCCTGTTGATCTTGGCCACCAGATCCATAGTCACCAGAAGGCTGTATCCTTCTGGCTAGAGTTCACTCTGGAAGTGCAGTAGGACAGTCCTGTACTCTTAGGTGAGCCCAGCGCTGTGTCCTTGCCCATTTTCAATCAGCTTCAGGCCAGGGCTCATTTTGGACTCTCACACTTTTTCACTCAGGCTGTTTCTTTCCAACTAGGTAGAAGAAAAGGCAAAATTTGATGGAATTTTTGAAAGCCTCTTACCCATCAGTGGTTTGCTTTCTGGAGACAAAGTCAAGCCAGTCCTCATGAACTCAAAGCTGCCTCTTGATGTCCTGGGTAGGGTAAGTGGTTCTCTCACACCGGGCACTACTGCTGAATCCAGTCAGCCCCATGCTCACCCCCCACGGACACTTCGAGGCCTTGCTGCACAGCCATGCAGTGTTGGGTTTCATAAGAGCCAACATGGGTGGAGCAATTGCTGCAGTTGGGCTGGCTTGGGGCCTCACAGGGTGCACCTCACAGAGGCTCCCCAGCACACATGGGGAGCAGCCTGAGAAGTGCACTCACTACCCAGGGCTCGGGGCAGGCAGAGCTGGGACTCAAACCCAGACTGTGATTTCCCCCTCTGCATTGTGCTTCTAGGGGAAGAGTATGGGCATATATGTCTGTATTTCTTTTCTATTTTTAATTTTTGTTTTTTCCTGCCTAGGAACCTAAGGTAAAGGTACTTTCAATTCTGCTGCAAGTTTAGATAAAATTTTATGCATTCCCCCCATTTTTATTTAAAAAAAAGCCTCAGTTTTGTTCCTATTAAATACAAGTTTTTTAGATACAGGTTTCTAAACCAGACTGTTTTCCTTCTAATGGGTTTGCGTTATGGCCCCTCATGTTTGCTCTGTGCACAAAGCCCAGTTCTGCATGGCTATCTCTGTGCTGAGTTTCCCGCTCTGGGTCGAGAGGGGATGGATGTTGTCATCTCTCTGGATGGAATTGCTGGTGTGGCAGGTGCAGACCTAGAGCAGGAGGGTGGAGCATGGTCCCTGCTGCCCCAGGCCACACCTGTGGGTCTGGCTCATGACATTTGGTAGAACCATGGGGAAGGGTGCAAATTCCTACCCACTTGGATTCACCTAATAATTTTCCTGTTTGAATATCACTTTTGCAGTTACTGGCCCATTTGATAGGATCCAGATAGGACTTTGTTTTGAAATGAGGCCACTAAGAAAGGGGATCTCACAGATCCCTTTGTCTTCTTTTTGGCTGTGGTGTGGTGTAGACGGAGGCCTGTGATGGGTACCCACGCTGATCACCAGTGGTCTTTATGAGGCAGGATGGGGTGATCTGCTCCTGCACAGTGTGACAGTTCTTCAAAATACCTGAAAGTTGGGTGTAATAATGTTGTAGAGCCAAATCCTGAACAAGACAAAGAGATCAACAGAGGTGGAGTGTGCTTTATTAGAAAGGGAGCTACGGCTAGGAAGGGTGAGTTCTGCAGATCTTCTACCTTGGCTCCAGGTCTTGTCCACGGGGGTCACTTCTCATCTACTCCTCTCTCGGTCTCTCCCTCCCTCCAAGCATCAACCCACACGTGCACCCGTTCATGCATGCATGCGTCCGTATGCATGCATCCATGTCCATGCACCCATCCATCCATGCATGCATCCACATTCACGCACCCATCCATGCATGCGTGCATTCACACCCATGCATGCATCTGTGTCCATGCACCCATCCATCTGTGGTATGTATCAATGCACTCAGGCATCCGTCCTTGCATCTGTGCACACACTCATTCACCTGTGCATCCCTGTACCCACGCATTATGCATCCATTTAGTCATTCAGAAGCATTTTTCGGAATCTGCTCTGGGCCAGCTTTGTACTGAGCACTGGGAAAATGGGGATGAAATTAAATACAGTCCAGGAGATCAAATAAGTAAGTAATAGTTAAGATCGTGGTATTTATTGAGGGCTTAGTATGTGCTAGATCCTGTTCTAGCGCTTTGCAGGAATGAAGTCACCAGGTACTTGCAACTACTTTGTTATGAATGGTGTCACTTCCATTTTCCATGTGAGGAAATGGGGGTCCCTCAGAGTGGCTGGTTAGTCGCTCAGGGTTGCATGGAGAAGGGAATGAGGTCCTGGTGGTCCCCAGAGCCTGCACTCTTCCCTGGTGCTTCCCCCCCCCCCCCGCCCCCACAACCATTGCCTCCCTGATAATCACGGTTCTGCTTGCTGGGGACAGTGGTAGAGGGGGAGGTTCCTGACCCGCCAGAGCAGAGGGGTACAGGGCAGGCAGAGAAGGCTGCCTAGAGTAGGTGCCCCTGGGTTGTAGCCTTTAGAGGGAAGGAACAGGTTGCAGATGACGGGTTGAGAAGGCCAGGCACAAGACAGCATGAGCAGAGGCAGCCTGGCACGCTGAGTACGGCTGATATTCTCACCAGGCGGTTCTACCCCCGGGGGATGTAGAGCAGTACCTGGAGACACCACCTGGGTTGGGTGTTACTGATGTCAGGTAGGTTGAGGTCATGGTTGCTTCTCAGTATCCTATAATGCACAGGATGTCCCACCACAGAGATGATCTGGCCCCGAATGTCAGTGGTGCTGTGGCAGGCGAGGACTGTGGAGTCAGGAAGGCCTGTATGTGCCATATTTTTGGGAACATTACTCTTCTGAGATTCTGCTTCTTAAATTGAGACCAAAGACGTAAAACACTCAGCCGAGTGCCAGACACCTTTAAAAGGGCATCCATATGCTTGAGGGGACTGCGAACAATTTGAAGTCCCTAGAGATCAAGGTGGAGTCCCAGGAGACTGGGCTGGGGTTGAGGGACCAGCTAAGGGCACAGTGGTCTCCATGTGCACAGGGATTGGATGCCATCAGCAGGGTGAGGTGGGGTGAGAGTGCATTCTAGAGCAGGTCCTGTGGTTACCCTGGGTACAGGACTAGAGGCAGGGAGGCCAGCTGGAAGCTCTGGCCTCTGTGGAGTGTTGGAGAGGCCCAAGCCAAGGACACAGCAGCAGGGGGTGAAGAGGAGGGTCCACATGTGAGAAACATCCCTGGGCTGAAGATCCTAGTGATTGATTGGGGGCGCGGGTACCAGCATATGTAGCATCACAGATGGACCCTGGGCTTCTGCCTGGCTCTGGGCACTGGTGCCATGTGCAGCACTGTCCAAGTCAGACAGGCTTCTGGTCCTGGCGGGCTGACTTGGGTCAGGAAGCTAGTGCCTTGGTTGTACTTTAGAAAACCCAGCACACAGCCTTTGATCCATGCCTGCCTTGTCTTTCAGGATGCTAGGTCGGCCTGGCATATTTTGTGGGATCTTTCTCACCATCCACTGATAGGGGAGAGGAGACAAGATCCCACAGACCTACTCAAATGCATTCCCGTGGCCCTGCCGTGAATGGGGGCAGGGGCTAGATGTGTGTGTGTCTGTGTGTGTGTGTGTCAGTCAGTGGGGGCGGGAACGCGGGCTCGTGTTCAGAGCAACACCTGCACCAAAACCAAAGAATCTAAAAATCAGGGTGGACGTGATTACAATCATGATCATTTGTTAGAGAAAATGAATGTTAATATGGTGGAAAGGATCTTGGAATTGACAGTATTTCATTGGATGATGGTTTTTCAGAGAACCTACAGACTGGTTCTTAAATGCATTTTGATTGCCTTGTCTTAACCCTGGTGTGCAGTCAGAATCTGAGTTCTGGTGGGCATGCGTGCTGCCACACAGGCCTCTCCTCCCAGCAGTCCCTTGGTACCGCCCCCCGCTAAGCCTTGCTGCTCTCTTCCCTTGCAGGTCTGGGACCTCAGTGACATCGACAAGGACGGGCACCTGGACAGAGATGAGTTTGCTGTGGTAGGCCCCTGCTGTGACTCTCTTTTCCCACTCTGCTGAGGAAGCAAATGTGCAGCTCATGTGGGGGTTTCTCGTTTAATTTTTTAAATGTTTATTTTGACATAATTTGGGTGTAATTTGACAGAGAATTCTTTCGAATCTTCACTCAGATTCCCCAGTGTTGCTGTTTTACTACACTGTTTTATCCTTCTCCCTCTCTCCCTCTCCTCTCCCCTTCCTTCTCTCCTTCTCTCTCATTTGCATATGAATGTATACATGGATATGTATACACAATTAATTTTCCCTTTGAACCATTTTGAAGTAAGTTTCAGACATGGGCCTTTTCATCCTGAAATACTTCAGTGTCTGTATCCCCAAACCAGAGAATTCTCTTGCATAACTGCTGTCCAGTTCAAAATCAGGAAATTGACATTGTCTAATTTATTACAGTATCTATTATGATAGGTTATATCATATATGTTATATATTAGTATATCTATTATTGTATTAATCTATTATCTAATCTAAGGATATTATTCACATTTTGCCAGTTGTTCCCAAAATGTCCTTTATAGTGAAAGAGACTACAGCCTCGTGTTCTTTTTTTTTTTTTTTTTTTTTTTTTGCGGTACATGGGCCTCTCACTGTTGTGGCCTCTCCCATTGCGGAGCACAGGCTCAGTGGCCATGGCTCACGGGCCCAGCCGCTCCGCAGCATGTGGGATCTTCCCGGACCGGGGCACGAACCCGTGTCCCCTGCATTGGCAGGCGGACTCCCAACCACTGCGCCACCAGGGAAGCCCCAGCCTCGTGTTCTTATAATCTAGATCAGCTCCTGCGTCTGTCTTTGTGTCTCATGGCCATGTGGGCATTTTTAAGGCCAGTGGTGTGTAGTGTGTCCTTCGGTGTGGGGTTGTCTGCTGTTTCCTGATGATCCAGGCCATGCACTTTTGTGTGGCAGGTCCCCACCGAGGTGATGCTTGTTCTCCCCAGGGCACATGACATCGATAGGACATGTGATGTCTTATTCCATGTCTTACTACCTTGATGTCAACCTTGACCCGACCTTGATCAAGTTTGGGGTGGAGGCTTCAGGATTCTCTCTTTTCCTTTGTGCTCAATCTTTCATGAGAGACACGTGGAGACTGAATACCCTGTTACCCCTACAACTCTCACCCGCTAGTTCTTGCATCCTCCCAGGAGTCTCACCTGAATCAGTCAGGTTTCTGGTAGTTGCCAGATGATGATTTTCTAATTCTGTCATTCCTTGCACATCTTCTAGCTGGCCTTCTACTGTAAGGAACTTGTTCATATCAGGGTGGACTTATGGATGTGTCCTCTGTTCTCTGTTCCATGGTTTATAATCCTTTACTGGCATGATTTATTTTGCCCAGTGGGAGTTCCTCCCAGCTGACTCCTTTGTCATTTGGTCACATCATATCATTCTTGAGCACTTGCTTACTTTTGGCACGATAGGATTTTCCTTGCTCTTTCCTTGCTCTTTTTTCTTGCTCTCTCAGCTCCATCATCAGCCATTTTTCCAGGGACCCCCAGTTCCTTATAGTGGAGAATGGTATTAGAAACCAGGATCTGGGCACTGGGGTGCTCAGTGCCCCTGCGATGCCACTGCTTCCAGGCCTTCTCAGCAGACAGAGCTGGGAAGTAGGCATATGTGTAGACATGCCCACCAGGTGCCCTAGCAGCCTGCCATCTACTTCCACGTCTGCTTCTGTTCATGCCAGAGCCCTGACACTCCCACCCTCTTCTCCTTTTAGCAGCAGTGCTAGATCTATGTGAGGATTGGGGCTCTTGTGTCCTATGGGCTGCCTTCCCATTCAGCTGCCCTCCCTCCACACCCCCGTAGCTCACCATTCACCTCTCCCAGCTGCCTGCTGCACTGACTTTGCCTGGCTCTCACCTCCCCACCCTGGGCCCATGTCATTCTGTCCCTCTTTTTCTTTCTCCCTTCCCCTCTCCTTACTCACATCTTTGATCTTTCTCTCCCGTTCATGAGATTTATTCACTCATCTCATTCCGTTAAATCTCAAAGTAGAATAAAGTAGCCCCTTGTAGATAAGGACAATGCTGTAATAAACAGTAATTAAGTTCAAGCAGGAAAAAAAAAAGCTGGGAATTCCTAAGTCATAGAAAACGATGCACTATATCCATATCCCTAAGGTACATCTTCTGTTTTAGGAATTTTAAATGTCTTTAAAATGTGATTTTACAACATACAAATGAATGAAAGCTTGTTATTATCTTACTATACTATGGTGTAAAGCCTTTGAGATTTTAAACTTCTAGGTTAAATTTAAACCATTTGCCAAGGAAATTATCAATTTCTCTTACAATTCCACTCATAATCCCTTACACCCCATAGTACTCAGTTGTGTTTTTTTTCCCCCACACATCGACTCTGTTTTGCCTTTTTTACTTTGAGCATTTTCCGTGTTTCTCCATCATCCTGTTCTTTTCACTAGCTGTCCATTATTATTTTTTTTATTGTGGTAAAATACACATAACAAAATTTACCGCATAACAAAATTTACCATCATAACCATTTTTATTTAGTTTTTAAAATATTTATTTATTTATTTGGCTGTGCCTGGTCTTAGTTGCGGCACGTGGGATCTTCATTGCCGCGTGTGGGATCTTCGTTGTGTCATGTGGGATCCTTTTAGTTGCGGCATGTGGGATCTAATTCCCTGACCAGGGATTGAACCCCGGCCCCCTGCATTGGGAGCATGGAGTCTTAACCACTGGACCACCGGGGAAGTCCCATCATAACCATTTTTAAGTGTACGGTTCAGTGGTATTAACACATTCACATGGTTGTGCAACCATCACCACCATCCATCCCCAGAACTCTTTTCACCTTGCAAAACTAAACCTCTGTCCCCATGAAACACTAACTCCCCATCCCCCCTCCCCCAAGCCCCTCATTATTTGTTTTTATATTTCTTTTGATGGCATTTGACTTCAGGTGTTAGTTAGTATCATTGAACTGCCTTTGGGGTGGTCTCCAGGAAGGGGTGATTGGCCTGGAGTGAACCCAGGAACACGCCTCTCTCCTCATAACCTCATGAGCCCTGAATTTCTACTTTTGTTTTTATCATTTCTCATCATTTCAGCCAAGATTTATATTCTTTTATAAGTGGGTCTTAGAGTTGTGTCATTTTGTGTTTCTTTTCATCACTAGCTGAGTTTGGCATTTAGTACAGTTTTTAAGTGACTGTAAATTTTTACCTGTGTTAATGATCTGTTGGTAGCAACTTAAAGACTAGTTTGAAGTGGGGGGGGGGAGGTTGTCATTTTGGTTTTGTTTTGTTACTTTTTAAAATAGACTTTTCAATCCTTGTTTTAGACAAAGTTTATTTTCCCCTGCCTACCTCGAGCAGGAGAGCCACCTGTCCATCCTCAGCACACACGCCCTTTTGGGTAGTTTTGTGTCTCCTGAATATCTTGAGGTACATGCAGCTCTCATGGTGTGCCTTTTTTTCCCCTTCCAGTTTTCTTGAGATGTAATTGACAGACAGCACTATATAGGTTTAAGGTGTACTATCATGGTGAGTCTGTAGACTTCCACGTTCCATTACTTTGAAAGTCGTCAGAGCTGGAGACAGTGGCCTTGCTGTGTGGCGAAGGGACACGTGTGGAGTCTGGCATGATTGTATTCCTTTTGTACTCATTTCAGTCTCTCGTGATTAAACATATGTCTTAGAAAATTATGCATTGGCAGTGTAGCTCATCAGAAAGGTTTATTTTTACTGTGTTCCATTTGGAAGCAACCTCAAAAAGAGCAGTCTTCATCACATCACTGCAGCCCCTGAAAGAGCTGCCCTCTGCCCGCCCTGGCCCTGGGCCTCGCCACCTGAACGCCGTTCTCTTTTGTGCTCACAGGCCATGCACTTGGTGTACCGAGCCCTCGAGAAGGAGCCTGTGCCCTCCGCCCTGCCCCCATCCCTCATCCCACCGTCCAAGAGGAAGAAGACGGTGTTCCCGGGAGCTGTGCCTGTCCTGCCTGCCAGCCCCCCGCCGAAAGACAGCCTCCGCTCCACGCCTTCCCACGGCAGCGTCAGCAGCCTGAACAGCACTGGAAGCCTGTCTCCCAAGCACAGTATCAAGCAAACACAGGTACGGTGCCCTCTGCATGCGTGGCCACGTCTCCGAGCAGTTGTTTGCACTGCTGTGTAGAGTGCCAGCAAGATGTTTCTCAGCAGCACGTAGTTCGTGACCCAAGAAGGGTAAAGTCTGTGATTAAATTAAATCTTTACAATAGGTGTCGTAGTCCTCTCTGGCTGCTGTGACAGTGCTGTAGACTGGGTGGCTTCTAAACAGCTGATATTTATTTCTCACAGTTCTGGAAGCTGGAAGTCCAAGATCGAGGTGCCGACAGATTCGGTGTTTGGTGGGGCAATTCCTGGTTCACAGGTGGCCGTCCTCTTGCTGGGTCCTCACATGGCGGAAGGGCCATGGAAGCTCTCTGGGGTCCCTTTTTTAAGGGCACTAATCCTATTCGTGAGGGCTCTGTCCTCACGACCTAATCACCTCCCAAAGGCCCCACTTCCTAATGCCATCACAATGGGGCTTAGGACTTCCAGCGTATGAATTGGGGGGGGGGGACACAAACATTCAGACCATAGCAACAGGGATTCAAAATTAAGTTTCTCATTCACTTACACATAAATACCGCCTTTCCCCAGCACTACTCACCCCTCTGCCCCTCCTGCCTCGGGCAGACCCTCTGCTGGGAGGGCGTGTCCCCAGATTGCATACTGAGGCACCTGGCGTCGTGAGCCTCTGCTCACGGGGCATCTCATCTGGGGAGCCTGGTGTGACCACACCCTGGACCAGCCACCCTCTACCTGCTCTCTTCTAGATTTCCACAGCTGGCCTGTTATGCGGTTAATTATGTATCATCTGTCCAGTTCCCCCCCAAACCCCCGCCATTAGCTTCATGAGAGCAGAGTTCGTTCTTGGTTATAATCTCAGCATCTAGAAGAATCTCTGGTACTCTGATGCTCATTAAAAATATGTTGAGTAATCAGGTAATTAAGGGAGGTATCCATCTCGTGTTAGGAAGACAGGAGGGGGCTCTAGCTCTCCATGTGACAGTATCTTATATGTCAAAAAAGACGTTTCTTGTTCTTGCAAAGGCAGCATCGTAATGGGCTCTTTGTAAAAGGGCACCTTGGAGATTGTCTAAAACGTGCAAGGACGTGAGTTACATGTGGAATCATGCTTTACTTTCTACCTCATTTGTGGTTTCAAAGCCAAAGCAATGAGTTGTGACAAGAAGGCCAGCCAGCACCCCATGCAAGTTTGGAATATGATAAAAATGAAAACAAGAAAGGCATAATGAGACAGTGATTTCTCTTGATAGTGACATAATTTTAAAGTTAAATATTCAACTTGCAAGGCTCATTTTCAAGGAGCTTATCACATCCTAGAGTAAAAAAAAGAGATCAGAGAGGGTCGATGAGGCTTGGTCATAGGGGCTAACACAACTCCCCTCACCACTCTGGCCAGTTGGAGAGGCGTGGCCTCTGGTTGGTGAGTTGTATGCGGCTCTCTGTGAAGGAGCCCAGCCTCAGATGGCCCAGCCTGGGCACCTTTGCCAGCTCACCAGCCGTGCCCGGCACTTCCTGGGGGTGCTGCAGTGACTGTGCGATGGGCCCCTGCCCTCTGTGGGGAGACAGACGATAAGCAAATTGGTAAACTAAGGAAGGTCCACCAGTCATGAGAAAGCAGAGCAGGGCCTGGCCTGGAAGTGTCGGGGTGAGGAGGGGGGCGTGCTCCCGTGGGTGGGGCCAGCTGGCAGGCTACCGCTGCCGCGGTGACATCTGAGCTAACACCTGAATGATAAGCCATCTGAGGACTAGTGCATGGCAAGGCTCTCAAGTGGAAACGCTCCGTGTGTCCTTGAAACCGGAAAAAGGCTGAGGCAGGGTTAGCCAGGGGATGGTGAGATGGAGTCGGAGAAGCGGGGCTGAGGCCAGCTACTTAGACCTACATGAGCTGCTGTGTTTCAAGACCCAACACCTTGAGTCTGCAGAATTCTTGCCGAAAGCTCTTAAGTACCGTAGGCTAGGCTAGATGGAGTATGTTTTACTGACAAGGAAGCAGGCAGGGCTGAAGTTGTTGTTGGGTGCAGGCCAGCCAGCCTCATAATACCACCCCCTGGTGATCTGGCAGCTCTCCCCAGATCCCAGGAGCATGCTGCTGACCCCCCTGACTAGACCAGTTGTACTAGTGGCCACTCTTGGGGGTCACAGGTGGGGGTGTCTTTGTCCCCGTGGAAGAGGGGCAGCTGGTGGAATTGCAGACATGAGAACGGGCATTTCTGTGGACCCACAAGTTCCATGCTTTCCCCTCCCCCACTTTCCTCATCCCCAGGGCAACAACACCCTACCTGGGGCCCCCAGAGGGCCGCCCAGTCCAGCTCTCGTGGCCATATGTGAGGGGAAGCCCCTTCCAGCCACCAGGGTCTGTTGCCATTGACTGGAGGCCTACAGCTGCTAAGCTGACCTTAAACCCAGCCCTTTCCAGGAGACCCAGCTCCAAGGGGGAGGTTGTTCAGTGTTGGATTTTTAGCTAAGTAGGCATCGGATTCTTGCTGCTGACATACCCTGAGACCCCCAGAAATGAGGCAGCAAGTTCATTGTGTTTGCGCAACGAATGTCTGGACCCTCATCATCCCAGAGGCGTGATCTGTTGGGGCCCATGGGACCCAGAAACCAATCCCGTCTCAGCTCAGCTTGTCTGACCATTGCTCCTTCTTCTGTGGGCATCTCAGTGTCAGCGTATGAGCTCGTTCCAGGCTCTTGACTTAAAGACAGCAAGCCTCTTCATTAAAGCTCCTTTATGTGCATCTTTACGTCTCCTCTGAACTGTTCAATGACAGACCTGAGGTGGCTTAGAAAATTCCTGTAATGCAGCAGGTAAAACGCTATCTCAGTTCTCGCTGCCTGAGCCTTTGCAATTTGAATCTGGTCCATAAATTCTGATGATTTTTTTTTTTTTTGATAAATCCTTGCTGTCCTAAATCATTCTACTCCCTACCCCAAACCCTGAGTAATGTGTTGTCCCTTTCTTCCCAAAATTACTTTCTGGATCCCTGGTGCTCACATCAGGATCCCACTGATTTAGATGATAAGAGAGACCTGGTCAGAAAAGCAGATGAAAGGAAACATCTCTACAAAAAGGGGCAGAGACGCTGTGAAACGTGCTGTGATGGGAGCCCCAAAGGTCAGAGGTGACACACCCAGAATAAGCAATTGAAGAGGCCTGCCACCAAGTGCCCGAGGGGCCTGGATGCCTCTGAGTTGGAGGTGCTCTGGCCCTGGCGGACCCTGGCATTTGCTTTTCTTAAGTAGAACTGGAGCAGGTGGTGTAAGAGGTCACAGGTGCACGAGGTGGCCAAGCCCCAATGCACTGAAATCAAAGCAGCTCGCTGGGCTCTCAGCTTCGTCTGCCATAGCAGGGTCCTCGTGGATGTGGGGCGCTCACAGGTGGTGGGCGTGCTCCTCAGAGGCCTGGGCTCCCCCACCAGCACCACAGGGCCCTGAGTGCCCGCCTGTCATGCAGGTGCAGTTTTCACATCAGCCTCACTCAGTGCCTGTCAGTGCCTTGTGTGTACTGACACCTCACAGGGGGTCTGCTGTGTCGCAGGGAGTGGGGTCAGGGTCAAAGAAGGATGGAGTACAGAATCCTGGAACTGTGGGCGTTGAGAATGCCCCTGCCGCTGCAAAGAAGGTCTGCAGGTGGAGGACAGAAGGCCAGGAACGCTGGTATCGGTGCTGGGCCGGTTCTCGGGAGACAGTCCTTCCAAAATGAGTGGTCAGGAGGGTCCTCTCTGGTACACTTGAAGTCCCCTCCTGGAAGGGGATCACTTTCCATCGTGGAAGGCTTTCCTTCGTGTCCCAGGCAGCGGGGATGGAAGGGCTATTGGTAGAAGGACCTGCTGCGTCTTTACATCCCTCTCAGTACAAAGATTTCAGGGCACTGTGATGGGGTGGAAAGAGGTACAGACTGGCCACTGGGTAAGACTGACCGAGTCAGCATTAACCTCTCTGAGCCTCAGTTTCCGCTCTTAAGAACAGGGATCCTGTCTGCCCTCTTGGCTCGTGGAGGGTTTTCTGCTAAAATGAGCATGAAAGCACTTCAATAGTGTATATTTGCAGGTGATAAAAAGCTTGAGGATTAACTTCTGAAAAACCTTTTCAGCCAACAGTAAACTGGGTGGTGCCAGTGGCGGACAAGATGCGATTTGACGAGATATTTCTGAAGACTGACCTAGACCTGGACGGCTATGTGAGCGGCCAGGAGGTGAAGGAGATCTTCATGCACTCGGGCCTCACCCAGAACCTTCTAGCACACATATGGTAAGAGCAGATAGGTGGACGTCTCTTCCTAAGTACAGGGGGTCTCGCTGTGTGAAAGTAACGGCTGTGGGTGGCTCACACGTTGAGTGAGACTTGTGCTGTGTGAAGGGCCGGAGCGGGTGAGCAGGACAGGAGGGGGCGGTAGTCAGGGCTGAGTGTAAAGACCTCTACCCTGTATTCCGTGCATGTCAGTTCACCCTCCTCCAGCAGGAAGGTCTCCTGTTTTGTCCCTCCAGAGAGCTCTGGGGCAAGTTCTTGCTAGTGGTTTTGCAGCCTTCAGCCCAGCCAGTGAGGGTGCAGATGCTCGGCCCCACCCCCTTCTGGTGGAAGGGTGCAGTAAGGGCCCCAGAGGCTCCGGCAGGGCCACCCTGGGCATCAGGGCTGTGGCCATCTCTCCTAGAGGCCCTTCCCCGTGAAGGTCAGTGACACGGCTGGTGGGAGAGGGTGAGACTGGTCTGTACCTCAGGGCTGGTCGAGGAGCCGTCTTCACCCCCACTTTCCTCCAGGGCCAGCGGAGCGATCTTCATGGCACTGGGATGGCTCCTTTTGTAACTAGCCAGTGGTGAAAGTCGCTTCCTAGCTTTCTCAGTGGAGAAAGCCCTCCCACTTTAGAGGGCTTCACTTGGGAGTTGTAAGAAGAGAATTTCCATGTAATTCTGGAGGGGTGAACCCCTCCAAATAGAGCTGTGAAATTCACTGTGACTTGGGGAAATAACCATCCTTAACAGTAATTCAGAGATAGGCACGTTACAAGGTGAGGCCCTACTGGAGAAAACGGGCTGTCCCTTCTGAAGAAGCACACGACACCTAGTCAGTTAGCAAAAGACTGTGGGAAGCCTGGCCCCTTGTGACGAGTCAGGGGCAGTCTCTATCAGGCCCTTCAGATCCAGTGCCCCCTTTATCACGCTGAAATGCACGTGCATGGAATTCAAATTATACCCTGATCATAACATAGAGTAATTTATAACATGTATCTCAACCTGTAAGTGACATGACAATACGTAAATGACACAACGAAATCACAAATACGCTTGGATTAAAAAGAAAACACGCAGAAGGCATTGCATACAGGGAGAAAAAGGCAAGGACGAAAGAGTGAGCTCTAGAGTAACCACTGGGACAGTGAAAGGACAGGCTGGGTTTGTTTGCAGGTGGCCAGGTGTGGGAGCACATCCAAAGTGGAGATAACAAGCCACGAAGGATTGAAGGGACGAAACGAGGACGTAGGCGTGTCCCCCGCAGTGCCCGGCACCGTGCCACTCAGCGTGGTGTCAGAATAAGCACAGTCATGCTGCCCTGGGTGGACGCGGACAGAGTACCCCTGCACGTGGGCCCGCGGGCCCCCGCTCCTTCAGAGACCGGGGAGCAGGGACGGGCCAGAGAGATGGGACCGCAGCCCGAGAGCTGCCGTGGGCTGGGTGTGAAGCAGGACTGGCCCTTGCCAGCAGAATCAGGAGAAATAGTTGCAGTTCGAAATTATCACACCCCGCCCTTGAACTGTGACAAGAACAAAGACATTTTAAAATCAGGCTTGAACAGAGACATTTACAGGGGTCTCCACCAGCCCTGTTCGCTCACAGCGTTTGGGCCCGAGTCTGTTACACGTTCCCGGCTCTTCTTTGCTCTGCATCAGGGCATGGTTTCACTACTCTCTCAGTAGCTACGTGCAGTGGGAAGGAGACTGCGTGTTGAGTGGACAGAGTGAAGGGATGACATTTTTCACAGATGTGGAGGCCTTGTCCTGGCTGCGTGAGGCTTCCCTTCCCGTACGGCCAGCTCTCGGTGACCAGGGCTGTGGCAGAGCTTCCACACTGCCTTGCCCATGTGCCAGGACACCAGAAGGCCACAAGGGCGGGGTCACCTTAGCAGCGAGGGACTGACCCCTGTGTAGCCATGCCTGGCTTTCCAGGCCCTGTCCCCTCATGATGACAACCCCAGGTGCTGCTTGTCATCCCCATTGAAGACCAGCGGCTCAGGCCATTCTGATAACCCAAGGCTGCAGGAACCAGCTGAGGGTCTGAGTGTGTGCACTCGGCTCCAGCTTCCATTTGCACAGGAATGTGAATCACATCCACTGCCTGCACACCATCAGAAGCCAGCTGCGTGTCTCCTGGCTGCTAACAGGGCTTCCCAAGGGACCGGCTCCTCGGCCCGTGGTGGGGGTGGGCTTGGCGGTTCTCCAGTTGGGAGAAGAGCCCCCTCCTGCCCTGACGCTCTGGTGGGGGGGCTGGGACTGCTCCCCAGGAAGGGGATGTTCAGTAGAAAAGGAGCTGCAGCTGTGGCCCATTGTTTTTATCGTTTTTGTTGTCCATTTTTTAGAAGTGTGGGTTCCATGTACTTGGAACCAATTCTGGTGTTTGTGATGTGTAATTAGCATCCCCACATTTCTCCCAGGGCCCTGGCCGATACGAGGCAAACGGGGAAGTTAAGCAAAGACCAATTCGCGTTAGCTATGTATTTCATTCAGCAGAAGGTCAGTAAAGGCATCGACCCCCCTCAAGTCCTCTCGCCGGACATGGTCCCACCTTCAGAGAGAGGCACTCCCATCCCGGTGAGTAGCCGCTGGCCCATCCCTATCGTGTTTGCGCCACTTCCCTCAGCCCGCCACCAGGTGGCGCTGGCGGCCTGCCCAGCCTTCACTAGGGCCACTCGGGGTGTGTCTGGGCTGCCCAGATGGTTCCCAGGCTGGGGGCTGGAGACAGATGATTTTATCCCTTATTCTAAGACCTACTAGCCCGTGCTGTGCGGTGAGGTCAGCTAGCCAATTTGTAATTCTTTGTCTGAATTTGGTTGCAGGACAGTTCAAGTTCTCTTGGATCGGGGGAGTTTACCGGTGTGAAGGAACTTGATGATATCAGTCAAGAGATCGCCCAGTTACAAAGGTATGTTAAAGCGTCTCCTTCCCTTCAGGTTCCAACCAAATCTACGTCCCAGGTTGTTATCGGAAGTAGCAGAGGCTTGTGAACCATGTGGCGAGTTGACCGTCATGAGTTTGTTCAGCAAAAATGAAGGGACACAGATTCTCCTGAGTTCCTGAATTGACTTAATGAGCTCAAGTACTGACATCCTCAGTGGGAGCCGGTGTGGGCTGTGGGGTCTCAGACACATTGTTGCTAGGTGGCCTGCAGGGCACCCACCCCCACCCCCCCCCCACCCCCGCCACAGGAAGGCCTTGTAATTTCTGAACACATAAAGTGACTGAGTCTCAGGTAGTGACACTGCTGCTTAGGAGCAACAGGTCAACTCTGAGTCTCAGGCCTTGTGTCCAGGTTTCTGTCTTCACTCCCAGCGCCCACTGCCCTGGTTTCCCCACCTGTAAACAAGGGCTTTGGATGGGGTGTCTGTACTCTCAGAGTCTGGCATAAAAGAATACATCTACTTCCTGTATGCCCCTGTGATCTTCTGCAGAACACCATCCTCTTACCAATTAATTCTGGGGGAGGGCTGGGGGGGGGGGTGCAACGAGCAGAAGGGCCAAAGGCACCCAGCCCTCCACGGGAGACAGACTGTTTCTTGACCGAAAATGAAAACATTACTTTGCCAGAGCGAGCTGGATCCCACTCACAGCTGGATGCCCCTTGGGTGGTGTAGTTTGTGTCCTTAGTGGAGCAGAGCCCTGAGAAGCAAAGGCAGGTCAGATGTCATGTGAGACTGGTTAGGTGGCTGGCTGGCTGGCCACAAAGCCTCAGCCTTGGCCACCTGCTGAAGCCAGACCCTCTGCTTCATGCTCAGCCCAGAGGATGGCTCCCATCTGTCATCTGCTCCCTGGGGCTGTATTTCCAAACCAGAAATCAGCACGTGGAGCCTGACAAGGCTGAGAGGGTCCGTGAGGATGGAGGGCCAGTGTCTCAGAGCCTGGGCAGGCCTGTTACTCAGGACTGCAGGTAGAGGAGGGAGGGGACCCTGTAATGCAAGGGTTGGGGTCTTGGAAGGGACAGTGGTGTCCCAGTCAGGCCAGGGCTGCCTCTTCACAGCTGTGCAGCCTCTGGCAGCCTGGAGCGTTTCCCTGTGAAGGCAAGAGGCAAGCGTGTGCAGAGCAAGAGTGTGCAGGAAGCCAGGCCTGGGTGGCTTTGAGAGTGACCTTCAGGCCTGTTGCTTGGCGGTGTGGCGAAACACGCCTGTCCCCTTGACGTGACTCAGTCGTAATGGGTTGGATGTAAAGAGCACGTTGTATCGTTAGGTAGTTCTTAGACTTGTGGAAACGAACATGCAGATACTCGCGGTTCCATGTCTGGCCCAATGTCCCAGAGGGGGCCTTACTGTCGAGCAAGGGCTGGGTTCCCAGCAGGGGAGACAGGGTATGTTGGCCACATGAGGTTTCTGATGCCGAGGCAGCCCCCTCAGGCTGCTGTAACAAACTCTCACAGACTGTGGGGCTTGAACAACAGGCCCATACTTACCCCCATCGTGGAGGCTGGAAGTCGAGATAGAGGTGCAGACAGATCCAGTGTCTGATGGGGCCCATCTCCTGGTTCATCGACAGCGTCTTCTCGCCATGTTCTCAGAGGGTGGAGGGGCAAGGAGGTCTCGGGTCTCTCGTAAGGGCATTAATCCCATTCCTGCAGGCTCCACCCTCATGACCTAAGCATCTCCCAAAGGCCCCACCTCCAAAAACCATCACATTGGGGGGTTAGGGTTTCAACATATGAATTTGTGGGGGGCACAAACAGTCAGTCTCTAAGGAGGAGAGCAAGGCTGGTTGCTGCCCCGGGGGAGCTGTTTGCAGCTGAGGAGGCAGGCAGGGCCCCACCAAGCCCTGGTGCGCACAGCGGCCAGCCACAGCCTCCTGTGAGGGAGTAGCTGGGGGCAGCTGCCGGGCCCAGAGACCCTCACTGCCGCATCTTGCTGCCAGCCCTCTGGACTCCTCACCCAACTTTGCATCACTCCAAACACCTCACCATGGCTCCTCCAGCCGAGCTATGCCTTCCTGTTCCCATCGCCTAGAATGTTTTTCCATCATATATTCCCTTCATAGGCCACGTCCTCGGAGTCCTTCCCTGGTCATCGTATGCAGGACATTGCACACCCCCTTTCCTTATCCCATTGGATTTCCCTTCGTGGTACTTAGGTTGTGTGCCTTTGTGTGTTGATTTGTTGCCTGTCTCTCTCACTGGCCTGTGAGCTCCGTGAAGGCAGGGCCTCACTCCGTGTGTCCTCGTGTCTTCAGTGCTCAGTCTTCTGAACAGTTATTGCTCACCATTCATGAGCGAGTGTACGTAGGATTTAGAGAATGTATTCATTTTCTGTTGCTGTGTATGGAATGGCTTAAAACAGGATTTAGAGAATGTATTCATTTTCTGTTGCTGTGTATGGAATGGCTTAAAACAGCACAAATGGCTTAAAACAGCTCTGTAGACCAGGAGTCTAGATGGGCTTAACTGGGCTTCTTGCTCAGGGCCTCACAAGGTCGAATTCAAGGTGTTGTCCAGGTAGGTGGGGATCTAAATCGAGTTGCTCAAAGTTGGGAGTCTGGGGTCTGCTTTCCGTGCTGTGTGGCCAGGGGCTCATTCTGCTCTGAGAGGCTGCCCAGTGCCTGCTCTCTCGTGACCCCTCCATCTTCAAAGTCAGCAGGGGCACATCCAGCCCTTCTCACCCTGGACATTGCTTTGACATTCTCTGCTTTAAAAGGCTGTGTGGCCATGTTGGGGGCAAAGCCTCATGGCATCCACAGGTTCGACCCACACTTGTAGGGGAGGAGGTCAGGTAGGGCAGATGGTCACTGGGGGCGTTCCTATACTTCTGCCCCCCACTGAGTGGGGCCAGCCCGGGTGGGTTTCTGTGGGATGGATGGGATTGGGTCTTGAGAAGTTGGGATACTGGGGGAACGGTCAACTCATTCACTCTATCTGTGCTTTCCTGAACTATTTTTAAACACACAGAGAGAAATACTCACTGGAACAAGACATTAGAGAAAAGGAAGAGGCAATCAGACAGAAAACCAATGAAGTACAGGTAAGCACTTGGCTGGTTTTCGAGGAATCAACCTTGTGTCACACGCAGTGCAGGGAGTTCCCAGCAGTGATGGTGGAGCAGGGCAAAGGGGGGGCACCGATGCACTCATTGGAAACTTGAGCTTTTGGGGGCTTCCAAGTGATTTTTTTTTTAGTTTCTTATACCATAAGTAGTGGATTTTTTAAAAATTGAGATGTACAATTCATATAATGTAAAATCTACTGTTCTAAAGTATACAGTTCAGTGGTGTTTAGCATGTTCAGTGTGTTGCTTAACGACCACCTCTGTCTAGTTCCAGAACATCTCCATCACCCCAAAAGGGGACCCCATCCTCATTAGCCGTCTCTCCCCATTCCCGCTCCCAGCCCCTGACAGCCACGAATCCACTTTCTGTCTCTATGGGTTTGTCCGTTCCGGACATTTCATATAAAGGGAATCATACAACATTCGGCTTTTTGTGTCTGGTTTCTTTCACTCAGCCTGAAGGACAGTCCTGCTTGGAGAGTCTCCTTGTGGGTGGTGGTGACAGTGACACTGGGGGTCTGACTGCTGGGGCTCAAACCTGGCTCTCCTTAGCAGCTGTGTGACCTTGGGCAAGTTACTTAACATCTCTAGGCCTCGTGTGACGTTGGTAGTGAGTGGTCTGCTCTCCTGGGCGGTGGGCTGGAGCATGGGGTCTGGCATGTGCTCAGCACTCACTCGTCGTCTGGGCAGAGGGAGGCTGTGCCAGAAGCGAAATGGTCAGTGCGTGGGAGCTGCACCCTTGAAGAGACATCAGTTCCGAGATGTCTCAGGTCTGAATGAATAGAGACGGCTCTGCCGTCGTGAGGAGACTCGAGTTGTCTGTGGGGCTCTGAGAGCGTGGCTGAGCTGTGCCGCTGGGCCTGACAGTCTCTGCGTGGGGCTTCGAGTGCTCTGAGCTCAGAGCCAGGGAAGGAGGAGCGAGGCTGAGCAGTCAGCGCTGCAGCCCCCACGGCTCGGCCAGGGGACTGTGGGTGGGTGGCTCAGCCTCCCGGCCTCCGTCTTCCCACCTGGCAGTGAGGATCAGCGCCAAGAGCAGCATCTGACCGCCGTGTGCACCGCCTGAGTGGCTGGTTCTTTCTGGGCCACCTCCTAGGGCAGCGACCTGAGCCAGGCCAGGGGAAGCAGCACCTGACTCAGTCAGGCTCATGGGGTGCTGGGCGGCCCTCTTTCCCCCTCCCCTGAGCCTGTCCTCAAAGGGGCTCTAGGATTCCATGAGATACCCAGTGGACAGATGGCATGCAGTGCCTGCCCGCCGGCTGCGGGAAATGTCCTCTGTCGTAGCTGCCTTCTGCAGGTGGGGTAGGGTGGATGCTTTGGGACTCTCATTGGTTCACGCTGTGCAGTGTCCAGGCTCTTCTTTCCTGGCTTCTCACTCTGTACACGTTGGCATCAGGGGTTGGGCCTTACATGGTCCCCTGGAATGTTTTGGATTAGAAGGCAGGGAACAGCCTGCCTCTATCATCGTGTTTTGGTTTTGTTTGTTTTTTTTTTCTCAAATGAGTTGCATCATTTATATGACCACAGGTGAAGTGACTCTATTTTTCTGGGTGTTTGTATGTTCATCCTATCATTTTACTCTCACCTCAGCCCTCTGATTTCCACCCATGTCCTAGAACTGATCCCTCAGACACAGTTCCCTGTCACCCGTATCACCTCACCCCCATCCTTTCAGCTGTTTGGTGTGGTGGTGCTGGCCTCATCTTCCCTTTCACCTTGGCCCTGGCCCGGCTGGCCACGTGGGTCCCTGGGCAGTTCTCCCTCCCATTGTGTCTGGGTCGCTCTGCACGAGCTCTGGTTTGCATTCCCAAAGCTGGGGATCTGGGTGCTGTGATGGCCTTTGGCTCCAGGGAAACCAGTCACCGGGTCTCTGGCACCTGCTCCTGGGCAATTCTAAGAAAGCCGTTGGGTCGCTGTGATGCCTGGAGGTGCTTTCTCCTCTTATCTGTGGCAGGCTCAGCAAGGCCACCCGAAACCCTCGCTACTGGGCTCTGACAGTGCACTCCTGCAGCCTTTGAGATGCTGGGGTCCGTGTGGGCCCCGATGGCCCCTCAGAGCTGGAGGGGGCCCAGCTCCAGCCAGGCCAGCCCCTGTCCCACGGGAGTATCACGTGTACTCCAACGAGGACAGGCCCCTGCTGTCGTGTGATGGCAGCTCCTTGGTCAGGGACAGAACACTATATATATTTTAAAGCTCCTCTGTGAAAACCAGGTTTGATTTTGGTTCCTGCTGCCTTTTCCCAGATGGGTTTGGCCAGGACATCATGTGCCATGCCTGCCAGCACAGGCTGCAGGTCAGGGCCCAGCGTCGAGTAGCAGGCCTTGGTCCTCAGGTTAGTTTATGTTTGGTTTTAAGCAGTGGAGCTTCAGCTTCAGCCCCCTCAGGCCTCCCCTTCCCCCTCCTGCCCTGGGGATCTCTCCATTTCCATGGCTACTGTCTTAGTGAGAACCTGCAGCATCTTTGCCTGGTTTACTGTTGCATTTTGTTTTTGTAACAACAGCTTCACTGAGATGTAATTCACATACTATACAATTCATCCATTTAAAGCGTATAATTCAGTCGTTTTTAGCATATGCACAGAGTTGTACAGCCATCGCCACAGTCAATTGCAGAACATTTTCATCACTCCAAAACGAAACCCCCTACCCATTAGCGATCCCCAGTCCTTCCCCAGCCCTTGGCAACCACTAATCTACATTCTTTTCTCTGGATTTTTCTGTTTGGGACATTTCATATCAATGGGATCACATACTATGTGGCCTTTTGAGTCTGGCCTCTTTTCACTCAGTGTAGTTTTCAAGGTTCATTCATGTTGTTGCATGTGTCAGTGCTTCATTCCTTTTTATGACTGAATAACGCTTCAGTGTATGGCTGTTTTATTCATTGCTTCGTTAGTTGATGGTTGTTTGTGTTTTTCTACTTTTTAGCTATAGCAAGTAATGCCACTGTGAATATTAATGTGCAAGTTTTTGTGTGGATATATGATTTCACTTCTCTTAGGTGTGTGTGTATATATATACATTTAAGAGTGAAGTTGTGGGTCACATGGTAACTGTATGTTTAACCCTTTGAGGAATTGCCAGACTGTTTTCCAAAGTGGCTGTACCATTTTTCATTCTCACTTTCTCCACATCCTCACCAACACTTGATATTTTCCATTTTTTATTATAGCCTTCCTAGTGGGTGTGGAGGGGTATCTCATTGATGCTGTCCCTAATGTTGATGAGCATCTTTTCACGTACTTATTGGCCATTTGTGTATTTTCTCTGGAGGAAAGCTAATTCAGACCCTTTGCCCATTTTTAAATTGGGTTATTTGTCTTTTTATAGTTGAGTTGTAAGAGTTCTTTATATTTTCTAGATAAATTCCCTTATCAGATAAATGATTTGCAAATATTATGTCCCCATCTTTGGGTTGTCTTTTCACTTTCTTGATGGTTGTACCCGGGCCCTCGGCAATGAAATTGAGGAGTCCTAACCACTGAACTACCAGGGAATTCCCTGAAGCACAAAGGTTTAAAATTTTCCAGTTATTTATTCCGTTTTTTTGCTTTTGCTTTTGGTATCATATCCAAGAACCCATTGCCAAATCCAAGCTCACAAAGATTTACCACACATTTTCTTCTAAGAGTTTTATAGCTTTAGCTGTTACATTTAGGTCTTTGATCCATTTTGAGTGAATTTTTACGTAATGTGTGAAGTAGGGGTCCAACTTCATTGTTTTGCATGTGGAGGGCCCGTTGTCCCAGAACCATTTCTTGAAGAGACTAATCTTGCCCCCACTGAATGGTCTTGGCACCGTTTTCAAAAATCCATTGGTCGTAGACATGTGGATTTATTTCTGAACTCTCAGTTCTATCCCATTGATTTCTGCCTTTCCTTATGCCAGTATCACACTGTCTTGATTACTGTTGCTTTGCAGTAAGTTTTGAAATCGGCAAGTGTGAGTCCTCCAGCCTTGTATTTTTCAAGCTTGTTTTGGCTCTCCTGATGAGATCGGGCCCATTCCGCGTGGTGTGGCCGTAGACTGTTTTGGCTATTCTGGGTCCCTTTCGTTTCCTTATAAATTTTGGAATCTGCTTGTCAGAAGCTGGCTTGCGTTCCAGTGGGGATTGCTCTGAGTCTGTAGGTTGTCTGGGTTTTTTCTGTCTTCTCTTTGCTCAGACACCTCCCCCACTTTGACCCCAGCGCTCTTCCTAACCAGAAGCTGGCAGGTCATCTTCCCGTGGGCTTTTCCATGGCTACGGTAGGCCTGACCCTCCTTCCTCCTTCGTCTCCCCCTTCCCCATCACTTGTCCTTCCCTCAGATGTGGCAAACCCACATTCCCTACTCTGCCATTAGCTTCCTATCAGACATTCATTGTTAGCTCTCCCAAACTTGTTGGACTTGAGGTCTGTTCTTAAAGGTCGGGGACAAGGAGACTGGGGAGCAGAGAACCTAGCCCCCCAAAATAGCTCAGAGGTGTGTTTTGGCTGTTGAGAGAGGAGAGAGAGAGCCGTGATTTTTTTGTCCTCAAAGCAGGGAGAGGGAGACCCTGCACCTCCTTCGAGTTTTCTTCTGAAATGACGTCAGCCACCAGCAGCCCCGGCCAGCCCTGGGGATTGGCCTCACCACTCCTGTCCTCCCTGACAGCCCAACAGTCCCCTCAAGTCCGCCCCTTCCTTTGATATGCATGGCCACAACCTCACCCAGGCTGCCATCACCTCTCCCTCGGCCCCAGCTTGAGTCCCCTCCCCACTGTCAGCCCCACAGGCCATGCTCTCCCCTCCCATCCCATCCCTGCTTTAGTTATCTGTCTTACAGGTAGGTAAGACATCCCATAAGACATTCGCCTGGTTGAAAATGGACGCCTCCTGCCCTCCCCTGTACCCGCAGAGGTGTAGTCCATCAGCTTCCATGAGGCCTTCCAGGAAGGTCATGTGTGTGTGTGTCAGGAGAGACGTCTGTGCGTATTCCCCCCTTCCTGATTGCACAAATGCCACAGTGCCTCACGTGTGTGCTCTGCTGCATGCCTCGTTCATTTCACATTATAACTCTGTTACAAGGTGGAGTGTCCCTCAGGGTGGGCTGTGCTACAAGTCCAGCCAACTCCGCCTGTGGAAGTTTGCATTGTTGACAGATCTTGCCATCACAAACATTGCACGTTTTCACTTGCGCCATCCCCCTCTAGGATCCTTTCCCTAGAGGTCTAACAGTCGAGTCTGAAGACACCCGCACTGGTCGTCTCGTTAGATACGGCCCACGTGGAGGAGCTTTAGCAGCTGAGAATCATCATGTCCTGCTCCCATTTTAGATGTCTGCAGGGGCTTCCTGCTGCAGAAGCCAGTGCCGTCTTTGGCATGGCCTTTGGGGCACGGACTCTGGTGCCCTCGGCCCGCTTTCCTTTGATCCAGCTGGAGCACGGCACCCCTTTCTCTTTGGGGTCCTCTGCGGCCCCGTCCACTCTTCACATTCCTGGCTCTTTTCCTGGCTACCACCTGCTCGTCCTTTGGGTTCGTCGAAGTGGTGCTTCCTTGAGCTCTTGTCCACCTGTGCAGCATCAGTATGGTCTCCCCATGCCCCCGTGACTCTGACTGACAGTCTGACCCATGCTATCCCATGTTCGTCTCAGTTCGTGTCTGGGTGATGCCCTTCCCGCCCCAATGATGACCACATGTCACTGGAGAGCTCTTCTTGCCAGGAGCCCAGCCCCACTCCTGGTGCCTGGCCTCTCTTAGGCCATCAGTAAGTATTTGCTGAGGGACTTAGTGCGAGATTCAGCTGGGGCCACCACACTGAGATGTGTGTGGTATTCCCTGTGGAGTGTGCGGTTTTGTAGGACATCTTGGGGGCTCCAGCCCAGGCTGAGACAGTGTTAGCTTGGACATGCCCCATGTGAACAAGTCTCGAGTAAATTCATGCCACCCTCCCCTAGGAATTGCAAAATGATTTAGACCGGGAAACAAGCAGTTTGCAAGAGCTGGAAGCTCAGAAACAGGACGCCCAAGACCGCCTGGACGAAATGGATCAGCAAAAGGCCAAGCTCCGAGACATGCTGAGTGACGTCAGGCAGAAGTGCCAGGATGAGACCCAGATGGTAAGTCATCATCCCCCCCTCTCCCCGCTGAGCCCAGCAGGGGAAGGAGGCTTCTTACAGACTTCCCTGAGCTCACCATGACCGTCTCAGCTCAAGGTTGAGATGTCTACTGGTTTAATAGAGTAGTTGAACATATCATGTGGAAAAGTGTCCAAGCATTTGTGGCCTGACCTCAGTCTCATCCACCATGTTACATGTATAAGCATGAACCCGTGTGTGCACACCACCCTGACCCATGCCCCACAGCACGGTGTGGGCACGTGTCTCCCCTCCCCTGGTGTCTTAGCTGCTTGTTACAAACCAGGGAGGCTGCAGCTTCAGCAGACTGTAAAACCCTTACATCCTGGTCTGAGGCCTCTTGTGGGGACATTCAGCCCCAGGGGACAGACAGATTGCCTATACTTGTCCCGGGTGTGGAGAGGGGTCCATGTAAAGGAAGCCAGGCGTCGGGCTTTCAGGCTGGTGTCCTCTTCCCTGGGTCAGCTTGTTTCAAGAACATGAGCCAGAATTCTTCCTCGAAGTCGTGTTTCATCTCTTGTCAGATTTCCTCACTGAAGACTCAGATCCAGTCCCAGGAATCCGACCTCAAGTCCCAGGAAGACGACCTGAACCGGGCCAAATCTGAGCTGAACCGACTGCAGCAGGAGGAGACGCAGCTGGAGCAGAGCATTCAGGCTGGGAAAGTTCAACTGGAAACCATCATCAAGTCCCTGAAATCCACGCAAGACGAAATCAACCAGGTATCTCCGAGGGGGTGGGGCGAGGCCTGCCACCACTGGCTGTGGCCGGGGGCTTCTGGGGTCTCCTGCCAAGCAGGGTGGCTGCCACGAGCAAAGCAGTCACAGAGGGGTGTGCGACCAGCGGTCCCAGGTGTCTGTGCCGCAGTAGTTGTTTTCTTTGCTCTCACCCACCTCCCTTTCTTCTTGGAAGCCTTCATTCAGCCTGAAGGTGAAGTGCTGAGAACCCCCCCAGCGTGCGTTCCACCATCGTGTTGACTTTGGCCTGGTGGTGTCTGCTTTGCCTCACTGGCCTTCCACTTCCCCGCCTGAGTGCACATCATTTTTGTGGAGCGGGTGGGGTCTGGGTGAGGACATTAAGTTAACTCATTTGGAGAGAGCCTTGGGTTCAGGACATGCTCTCCCCAACCTTGGTCCTTGTACAAGCAAGAGGGACAGAGTCCAAGACACCTTCCAGCACCCGTCTGTCCCCATGTATTGACAGTTCGAAGACCAGCACACCGAGGAGGCCCCATCCTCTCAGGAGCATCGCCCCACATGGGCCCCTGTCCAAGTACCCCTCCCTGTCCCGCTCTGGGGTGAAGGCCTTGAGGCCTGTGGCCGCTGCCCACCAGCAGAGGGAGAGCTCTTTTCCTGCTCCCCTGTATGTAACGGCTAAAGGCCTCCTTGCTCGCCCTCGAGTGTCCCACCTACAGAGTGAGGGTGATGTTTGTTAGACCTTGGCAGTATCTAAATGCGTGTTCGTGCTTCCTTTCTTTTGACTGACTTGATCTCTTTGCTCTTTTTGCCAGTTTACTGGCAAAAGTTGATCACAAACTCAAATCTCAGGGATTTAATGCCATATATTGTGCTTTTTTGTTAATTAATACCTGTAGGGTTATCTTAGGTCTTTTCCCTCCCAGCCTTTGGAGTTTATAAAACATAGGTAGGAGCCAAGACATAAATGTATGTTAGTGATAATGATAACGATATTAAAAATGATAGCTGCTGCTTATTAAGGCCCACCCTGCCGGACACCGCAAGAGGGGTTTTACCCGTCATTTCCAGGGCTCCATCTTGGAGAAGAGGAAACAGAGAGGTTAGATCACCAGTGCATATGAGACAGTTAAGATAAAGCTGGGGTCTGTCTGACGTCACAGATTGCCTTCCTTCCCCTGGCCTCACGTGCCTCCTCCAGGAACAAGGAGGAGCAAATGGGGTAATAAAATCCCACGAAGGAAAGTGACCGCTGAATATCACTTTGAATAGATTGTGCATCTGGATTTTGTCCCATTCCACTTCCTTCTGAGTCACCGAATGTCTGAACACTTGCCTTTCTCAGGGACTGCCTGGGGCAGCAGAAGGGTCTCGTCTTGGTTTACAAGTGGTCTCGCGTCTCATAAACATGGCAACAGGGATTGTCTACTCCGTAGATGGGTAATTCAGTTACCATTGTGAATCGTCTGGGGTTGGATGTTAGGAGAAAAAAATGTGTTGCCTAATACTCTTTTCCTAAACCCTACTTGATGCCGACGATGTCTTTATTGTACAGGCAAGAAGCAAGCTTTCCCAGCTGCACGAAAGCCACCAGGAAGCCCAGAGGAGTCTGGAGCAGTATGACGAGGTGCTCGACGGGGCCCACGGCGCCAGTTTGACCAACTTAGCAGAGCTGAGCGAGGGCGTCTCCCTGACAGAGAGGGGCGGTTTTGGAGCCATGGTAAAGGTTGAATAAATGTAAATGTAAAGGTCCCGGCCCCACACTGGGATCAGAGAAGGCCCTGCCCGCTTGATCCAGCACTTGCCAGCCTCGATTCTGTTCAAGTGCAGGGTGTTTCTTGTTTTCGCTGCTGCTTTGCGTGTCCCCACCAGCCCTGCAGCCTGGCGTCCGGGGCCACACTCCATCCTGGTGTCTGGGACAAAGCCAAGGATAGGCCTGAATCCTTTCTAAGACCAGTTTGTAAAGACCTCCATCTCCGTGAGCTGATCACCCAAATTTGGAGGGATTCCCAAACTTAACCAAAATTGGATCAACTCTCATACATTGTGAAACCCCGCATCCTACTAATTGAGAGTTTGGAGGAGTGTGTGTGTGTGTGTGTGTGTTTCTGTGTTTCTACAAGGAGCACCTTGAAAATCACACGTATAGGTAAAGATCAAGAACAATGACAGCCCTCCTGGGGTGTTGCTGTATCACCTATGAATTGGCCTCTCTCGTGAAATCTTGGTTACGTTTGAGACTTTGGCACTTGGGTTCAAACCTCATGACCCTGGGGGTGCTGGTGAAGGCCCGAGAGAGGCCATTGGCCTCTTAGGTTTCTGCAGGCCTTCAGGCTGCTGACATCCAGCAGTGTTACTTTGTCCTTTGTTCCTGCCAGAGTTGGCTGTAGCAGCCCTGAGCCCTGGCGTGTGCCGTTTTGCAGTTTACTCTGGCTGACGAGAGTGTCTTTGTGCGTCTCTGTGCTGTTGCGGGAGCCAGTGGGATGCTGTTGGTCTCCGTGGTTTCGTCGTGCTCTGCTCCCAAAGCCTTTCACCGCACACCCCGCACTGCCATCTCTCTCTCCCAGGCTCTTGCTCCTGGCCCTGTTTGCCTCATGGATTCCTTCCCCTCCTTGTAATAATTCAGCCTCTCTGTCTCTCTTCATGTGAGACTCGGCTCTTTCTGTGCATTTCTTGACATGTTTCTTTTCTCAGTAGCCAAGTGCTCAGTCCCAAGGATTTATGGGGAAGCTTACGCCTCCTCCCCCCGGATTGCAGAAGACCTGTTGGTGTTCTCATCTGTCTCCTGTCTCTGGCTGTCACTGCCTCCCTCCGCCATTCACACATTCCTTTCCTCAGGGAATTGTAAACGAGTGAATTCCATATCTGCTCCTGGGCCCGTTGTCAGCTTCGTCAGCTTTACCGTCTACATAGAGACTGTGAACGTTCCTTCTTCCCGAACCGAGTGAGGCAGAATTTCCTGCTTGGCTGTCTGTCTCAGAGTGTGCGTTTCAGCTTCTTAGCCCTGCTCTGATTCTTCCCTCTGTCACTGGTACCCTCACACGGCTCTTGGCTTGCCCTGTTCCGTCTTAGTTCATGGAACAGCTCACTTTTAAACCCTCTCGCAGGCTTTGATAAGATTGGTTTCCTTGGATAAAAAGTTGACAGTGAAGTGGCAGTTTGAAAGCAGCATGGGACTTCCCTTCCCTCTCCTGCCCCCCACAGATTTTTTTACCTTTATTTTTATTCATCTCATTAGCGGGCACAGTTTACACGATAGTCAGTTCATCTTGAAACGTCGACGTCGCATATGTTACGTAGAAACTCAAAACCAGTGTTTGAGAGAAAAACTATTTTTATCTTGTTGTACAAATACAGTTTTTAAAGCACTTTTTGGTTTGTTTCCATTTCTTAATAAATACTTTGAAGAGGGCTTTTTGTTTACTCCTGGACATTTCAGGACTGCTCCGGAGGAGAGGGACCTCTCTTAGTTCTCTTTGAGGGGATGAAAGTGAGGAGTTTAGTTTCTTGAGAACAAGTGTAACCAAAGAGTTGCGTCTAGAACTTTCTAAGTCTGGACGGTTTTTCTAAAGTTACTAAGTTTAGTGTTAGGCTCACATGATTTTACTTTGTCCAAGACAGCAGGATTCTTAAAGCCATATTTATTTCTTATCTGTCATCCACTGATGAGAATACTGGCCTCTTGTCCTTGGAGTCAGCACTCGGCCAACCGGTCTACTAGAGAGAAGGTAATAAATCATCCCAGCCTTCAGTCTCGCCGAGAACTCATCATGAAAGAAGGGCTTGTCTGTCACATCCAGCCCCTGGAGTGCTGGAGCCAGTTTTATTGACTCTCCAGAGCCGATTATTAAATAGGAATTTTGTAAGCTGTTATTCAACCTTTGGTAACTGGACGTCAACCATGGTGGGAGTAGCTACACCATGGGAATTGGCAGAGGCTAACAATCAGGGCTTTTTTTTTTTTTTCCCCCAGAGCGCTGGTTCACCAGCACACCACTGCCTAGCCCCCATCTAAAGGGAAGGAACGTCACAGAATGTCACCTAGATGCCCTTTCAGAGTTGTCATGTCTGTTTCCCAAGAAGTGCAGTAATTAAGACCAGAACTCATTGTTCGAGGTGTTCTCCCTCTGCCACGGGTGGGATCGTTCACCCCGTGCTTGGCAGCTGCACTTGCGTCTCCCAAGCGGGCAGACGGCTCCGTGCTCGTTGGCAGGAGGTCAGTGGATGGTGGAGTTTACGGCCTCTCTGCACCAGGGGAAATCTAGTTTTCTGCTCTGGATCTGTGAAATGGAATCCAAACCACCTGTGGTTACCCTAACCACATGAATCCTGCCGGGGTCTTCTTAGGCTTCTCCTTTGAAGGGGAGGGAGCGGTTGCTGCCTTAGGCAAACAGTTGCTCCTGAGAGAGAGATTGCAGACTTGACTTTCCGCTCAGGGGATTTCGGGCCAGACCCCCCAGGATCAGTCTCTTCTCTGCCATTGTCCACTGTTATTTGTCAGTCTTCCAAGTGGCAATTGAAAACATTATAAAAACAAAAACAAAACAACACAACCAATTTGTACATCAGTGCTAATTAAAAACTAAACAGAAGCTTCCACACCGAGGCCAAGTTGTCATTCTTAACTCACTATTTTATCCACCTCATACATCATCTCTCTCTGTTCTTCTGGAACAGATACGTTCCTTCCCCCGGGCTGCAGTGCAAGAGGTTTATTTTCCACACCGGCCTCCTGGCTTCCTTAGATTATGACTTCTCCATCACGTTGATCTGTGTCTCAGAACCCCATTGGGTGCTTGCTGGCGCGGGCATGTCACAGTAGTTAGCAGTACGACGTCCTTACTGAGTCCTTGCCCTGCTATCAGACACAGTTCTTGCAGACATCGGTACTTACTTGCCTAAGAACTGGCTTATTTTCCCCACCTTGGGAAACCCTGTGGTTGGAGGCTCCAGATAATCTTTCTCAGGTAAGGAAAATCGTTCCGTATTCATCAGAGGGCAGGGATGTTGGTCAGTCCTTCTGAAGCCTTGGGCTTCCTGTTAGCCTGGTGCCTCTGAGATCCGTCCTGCTCCCTGAAGTCAACTGGCCCAGGGTGGTAGGAGCCTCGTCAGGAATCTTCCTTTGGCCCCTTTGACGTCATTGCCCTGTATTTTCACGGAAGCCCAGCTCTTTAATCATTTGGTTTTGGTCAGTTGGAATAATGGCTGAGTTTGCCAGCCCCGAGGATGCTGACACATTTGCCAGATTTAGTGAGGATGTTGTGCTTTTTAACATCATAGTGAAACCTTCATGTTTTCACTGAGGGTGTGTCTTCATTAACCAAAATATCTCAGTATTTCTGAACCAAGTACACCGGCCCTATGTGTACTGTGAAGCCTCTCCCCAGCCCTTTCAGGTCATTTTCCGCTATAAAGACGTGCTCTTCAAAAGCCGGTTTTTTTCCCTTCTGATTTAAATATTCTTGTTTGTTTCTAGAAATAAGCACTTTAAAAAAAAATGCAAAGTGTTGCATGTGCTCTAGTAGTTCTAACTGCGTAAGCACTCATTTCCTCTCAGGATGTAAATAGCCAGCATGTTTCTTGGTGTGGAAACGGCATTTTTGAAAATGCCCACGTAGGTAACACACTCTGAGGAGGTGTTTGAGGGAGGCACACCTTTGGACAAGGCCTCCGGCTGCAGTCGTCGGTGGCTCGTTACATTTTCTTTCTGACATTTCCAAAAACATGACTTTTTTTCTGACTCGATTTTTTTGTTTTAATTGTGGCAAAAGGCACGTAACGTAGAATTTACCATCTTAACCATTTTTCATTGTACAGTTCAGTAGTGTTAAGTTTATTCACATTGTACCACTAAGCGCCAGAACTTTTTCATACCCATTAAACAGTAACTCCCCCTCCCCCCTCCCCCAGTCCCTGGCACCCACTATTCTGCTTTCTGTCTCTATGAATTTGATGTCTCTAGGGACTTCATGTAAGTAGAATTACACAATATTTGTCTTCTTGTGACTGGCTTCTTTCACTTAGCATAATGTGTTCAGGGTTCATCTGTGTTGCATGTGTCAGAATTTCCTTTTTAAGGCTGAATAGTATTCCATTGTATGTACATACCACATTTTGCTTATTCATTCATCCATCAGTAGACGCTTGGGTTGCTTCCACTCAATGATTTTTAAATAAACTTTTTAATTTTAGAAGACTTATAGAAAAGTTGCAGAGATGGTACAGAGAGTTCCCATGTACCCCACACCCAGCTTCTCCTATTATTAACATCTTGTATGGTACATTTATCATAACTAATGAGCCATTGTCGACATGTTATCATTAACTAAAGTCCATCTTCTATGGTTTTTTAAAAAAATTACTCTCTTTAGGATCACATCATTTACAGGGAAAATATACCAGTTAGGTATAGAATTCTGTACTTTGCTTTAAATCTGAAATAATTAAATTCCTGTCCTGTCTCTTCACAAAATTATAGGACGATCCTTTCAAAAATAAAGCCTTGTTATTTAGCAACAACACCCAAGAATTGCATCCGGATCCTTTCCAGGCAGAAGACCCCTTCAAATCTGACCCATTTAAAGGAGCCGATCCCTTCAAAGGTATCTCATTTGGCACCCACTTTATCATTGAAAGGCTGTTTTGTGCCCCCTAGGGTTGTCCAGTGACTAGAACAGTTAGGAGGAAAGAAATTCTTTGAGCCTAATGGGCCTCTTGAGTTTTTCACCCCACCTGGTTATCTAAAGAGCTGTGGTGTTGAGGGGAGGGGGTGGGAAGAGCTCCAGGCTCACCAAGAGACATCCACGTTCAAGGGTGGCCTGCTTGGCCCTGAGACTCTGCATGCTTCAGTTCCCATCCACCTCTCGGGATTGATAAGATAATCAGACGTAGTGGTGATTATGGAACCACCTAGTAAACAGCAGATCCCCACGTAAACATCTAAGGTCTTAACGTGGTGAGTTCATCCAGATCCACACACGAGTCAAGAATAAGAAGAATTCTAGAAACAAGATTTCCTAAGTTTCTTCAGTTTTTGCAGAGCAAAACAGTATTTCCAAGAAGGCTATCTGTACTTTTCTGAGAAAAATGCCAGGGCAGGGAGAGGGCAGAGGGAGTGCCTTTCCAGTTTCAGATTTGGAGTGGAAGCACCTTAGTTCTGAGAGATGAGTCAGGCAGTCCCGAAACTCAGATGTACCATGCGGCTGAGGATGGGGCAGCTCCGGGGTCCCAGGTTCTTGGAGCCCTGGGAAGTGACGGGGAGGGACGGGGGTGAGACAGGAGAGTAAAGCACTGTGTAGAAGGAGAGAGTGAATTCAGCCTTGCCCTACACTGTCCTTGATTTAGGCCCGTGTTGAGCAGCCAACAATACTTGTCATTTTATCTTAGCTGTCCTCGCCATGACAAACTGCCTTAGTCAGTGGCTGCCCCTGCTTCCCCACTTTGCTCTGCCAAGGTCATGTCTACCATAGACCTGAACGGTCCTCTCTCCTCTAAATCCAGGTGACCCGTTCCAGAGCGACCCCTTTGCCGAACAACAGACGGCTTCAACAGGTAAAAAAAAAAAAAAAAAAAAAAAAAAAGCCTAAGCCTTTGTTAAAAGAAACATTTTGTGGACTGGCTCTCAGAATATTCCCATTCCTAGTTCAGGTTGAGGGAAATGGGGAAACACCTTGCAGCCTCCTTTGCCAGGTCAGTTTCTGAAGGAACCTCCATTGTCCCTCCCTTTCACAGTCTGGTGCCCCTTCTTGCCAGTCGCACAGCATGATGAGAATTAGAACTAGGAAAGAAGCCCCTGATAGCTAGGCCACTGTTTGGACACTTGTGCCCACTTGTGTCACCTGTGGTGGCATCAGGGTGTCCCATTGGTACCCACATGCGGTGGCACTTCTGCCCACACATACCAGGGAGTGGACTGGGAAGGACAGCATCGCACTGCATAAAAGCCTAGCATCTTGTTCCCTGCTGGTGATGGTGGCTTGCCGCTCCTATAGTCACCAGGCCCACACCTCACGTTCGAGGAGAATGAACGCACCCTGGGCGTGGTGTTGGGATCATGCTGCCCATTTATCTAATTTTTCCCCTTGTATTCGCTTTTTCTATTGAGGTGAAATTCACATAACACAAAACTAACAAATTCACATAACACAGATTAACCACATTTCAGTGACGTTTAGTTCATTCACTGTGTTACGCAGCCACCACCTCTGTGTAGCTCCAGAACATTTCCATCTCCCCAAAAGGAGACCCTGTCCCCGTGAGCAGTCTCCCTAGTCCCACTCTCCAGCCCCTGCTTTCTGTCCTTATGGATTTACTCATTTTATTTTGAAATCAAGTGTTATTGAGAGGTATAATTAACACACAACAGAACTCACCCATTTTAAGTGCAAAACTGGATACGTTTTGACAAATGTGTATAGTTGTGTGAGAAAGAGAACATTTCCATTATCCCAGAAGGTTCCCTGGTCTCCCCCACCCCCTTCCCCCCCAGGTCTCTGGCAACCACTGACCTGCTTTCTGCCACTACGGTTTTTACCTCTTCTAGACTCTCATGTAAATAGTGCCAGTCAGTTGTGTGTTCTTTTATATTTGGGTTCTTTCACTAGGCATAATGTTTATTCATGGGGCATTTTTTTCTTCTTTCCAAAACACCTAGATCCATTCGGAGGGGATCCTTTCAAAGAAAATGACCCATTCCATGGCTCTGCCCCCGACGACTTCTTTAAGAAACAGACAAAGAACGACCCATTTACCTCAGACCCATTCACGAAAAACCCTTCCTTACCTTCAAAGGTGAGTGACCCCGGAGAGGCTGCCTTCTGGTGCTGCCCGTCTGCATACTCTGCGTGTGTGAAGGCAGCCCTTTCCATTCCCCACCCTCCGTGGACCGAGTCAGGGCCTCCATCACTCAGACTGTGAGTGCTAAGCCTGACGAATGAGGGCTGTGCAAGGCCAGGGGATTCCCCGGGGGCTGGCTCGAAGGCCAAGCCTCGTTACTGCATAGCAAGGTGACCGTTTCTGCCGATCCCTACAGAGGCTTGTCCCACGAAGCAAGGTGTCACATCCAGCAGTCCAGTGAGCCCAAGTCAGGGCGGGCTGTGTCCTGAACAGCTGTCATTCCTCTGTCCCTTTCTGTGCCCCTTTACTTCAGCTCAGGCCCACCTGCTGGGTTCTCTGCTCTGTCGTCTGCCCCCAGTGCCACTCCACCTCCCAACAAAGACAAAATAGAGCACCACACACTCCCACAGGTTTCCATGTGACTGCTCCTGCCATCTTCCTAGTGCAAAGCACTAATGGTGACATTGGCATCAGCCAGCCTCAGTGGGTCCCCGCCATGGCAGGAGGAAGTCCAGACCCACAGCCTGGATGCACTTAGTGTGCTCCCCCGCCCCCCAGCAAGTAGTAAACCATACGTTTTGCACGTTAGACTCAACAGACTGGTTTAAATTGGTGTAAATGAGGATTTAAAAAGCAAACAGTAACTTTGTGATTGAATAGAGAATTTTTGTGTCTAAGTGAGGGCAATGTATAGCCTTCCTTCACGTTCTAGGCTGCATCTCTGTCCCCACCTTACCCATTCCCTAGTTTTTCACTTCTCCATGGACCTACTGGTATGTATCACTGGCCCCAGAGCTCCTTGAAGGCAGGGATTAACCTGTAACGTTTCTATCTGCGAGACCTGTCATGGGATCCCCCCCTTTCATCGCTGGTGTTGGTGGTCTGTGTTATCTACGTTTATCAATTTTGTTGATCTTTTCCACGAGCCAACTTTTGGCTGTGTTAATTTTCTCTCCTGTTTGTTTCCTGTTTCACTGATTTCTGCTCTTCATTATTTCCTTCCTCCCACTTTGCTCTTTTGTTTCTAACTTCTTAAGATACAACCTTAGGTCATTGGTCTTGGATCTTCTTTTCTAATATGAGTGTTTAAAGCTATGCATTTCTTCTGAGGTGCTGCTTTAGCTGCATTCCATCCATTTTGGTATGTTGTATCTTCATTGTCATTCATTTTGAGATATTTTCCAGTTTTCCTTGTGAATGCTCTGTTGAACCTGGATTATTTAAAGTATGTTGTTTCATTTCAAGATACTTTATTTTCCCCCTAGGTATTTTATAATACTGATTTCTAATTAAATCTACTGTTATTAGAGGACATATTTTGTATGTTTTCAGTCCTTTTAGATTTATTGAGACTCGTTTTATGGTCTGTGTTGGTGAACATACTTTGTACACTTGAGAAGAATGTCTATTTGCCGTTGTTGGGTGTAACGTTCTGTAAAGGCCAGTTAGGTCAAGGTGGTTGTTCTGATTGTCTATATTTTCTTCCCTTTCGCCACACCATGCGGCTTGCGGGATCTTAGTGCCCCGATCAGGGATTGAACCCAGGCTGCAGCAGTGAAAGTGCCCAATCCTAACCACTAGACTGCCAGGGAGTTCCCCTTTTTTCCTTTTTTTAAAATGTAAGGTATAGTTGACTTACAATATTGTGTTAGTTTCTAATGTACAGCAGAGTGATTCAGTATACCTATATACATATATATATACTTTTTCATTATGGTTTGTTAGAGGACTGGTTGTCTATTTTTTTTTTTTTAATTAACTCATTTATTTATTTATATTTTTGGCTGTGTTGGGTCTTCGTTTCTGTGCGAGGGCTTTCTCTAGTTGCGGCGAGCAGGGGCCACTCTTCATCGCCGTGCACGGGCCTCTCACTGTCGTGGCCTCTCTTGTTGTGGAGCACAGGCTCCAGACACACAGGCTCAGTAGTTGTGGCTCACGGGCCCAGTCGCTCCGTGGCATGTGGGATCTTCCCAGACCAGGGCTCGAACCCGTGTCCCCTATGTTGGCAGGCAGATTCTCAACCACTGTGCCACCAGGGAAGCCCTGGTCATCTATTTTTATGGTTTTTGTTTGTTTGTAAGCTCTACCAGTTGCTGAGAGAGGAGTGTTAAAATCTCCTATGATTGCAGAATTGTCCATATCCTTCTTAATTCTGTCAAGTTTAACTTCATGTGTTTTGAAGCTCTGTCAGGTGCCTACACATTCATGATTGTTGTGTCATCCTGATGCAGTGACCTTTTTTTCTTTGTAAAGGGTTCCTTTTTTCCTCTGGTGCTTTGTCTTAATCTATTTTTATCACATATTAAAATAGCCACCTCATTCTCCTTATGCGTAGTCTTTGCATGATGTATCTTTTTTCATCCATTGACTTTCAACCTGTCTGGGAGTCGAAGGATGTCTTTTGTGTCGAGCATGTAGTTGGGCCTTGCTTTTCTATCCAGTCTGGAAATCTCTGCCTTCTAAATGGAGTGTCTAGTCTGTTAACATTTAATGCAATTATTGATATGGTTGGATTTACGTCTACTATTTTATTATTTACTTTCTTTTATCCTCTGTATTTTATTCCTCTGTTCCCCTTCTTCTGTCTTCTTTTGGATTATTTGAATGTTTTCTAGAATTCCATTTTCTGGTATCTGTTGGCCTTTTTTAACCATACCTTTTTTCATTATTTCTTAGAGGTTGCTTTAAGGATTACTATATACACTCTTAACTTATCATGGGCTACTCGGAATTAATATTATGTCACTTAATGTAAAATGTAGAAAACTTGTAATCATATAGGTCCATTTATCCACCCTCCCCCAAACAGCAGCGTCTCTGTTATAGTTGTCCTATGAATGTAATACATCTAAATATGTTAAACTCCATAAGACAGTGTTTTAATTTTTGCTTTAATCCACTGTATGAATTCTAAAGAGGAAAAAATAGTTATGTTCTTTTTTCTGGCTGCCTTAAAGAGCCTCTCTTTACGTTTGCTTTTCAGTAGTTTGTGTAGGCTCTGGATATGTTTTTCTTTGTATTTATGCTGCTGGGCGTTTGCTGAAGTTCTTACATCTATAAATTATGTCTTCACCAAATTTGGTAAGTTTTCTGCCATTATTTCTTTGAAAAAAATTTTTTTTCTATTCTATTTTCTCTCTTCTCTTTGTGGGATTCGAGTTACATAGATGTTAGACCTTTTGCTATTGTCTTTACAGGTCCCTGAGACTCTGTTTCTTTTCATTCTTTTTTTCTTCAGATTGGGTAATTTCTACTGATTTATCTTCAACTTCACTTACATTTTTCTGTCATTTGCTGGTTAGCTAACCTAGTGAAGTTTTTATTCTAGATATTGTACTTTACATTGTTTGAGAATGTCCATGTTTCTTCTGTATAGTTTCCATTTCTCTACTAAGATATCCTGTCTTTTTATTCATCTTAAGTGTTTTTTCCTTTATCTCATTAAGCACAATTATTGCTGCTTTAAAGTCATCCTCATCTGAGAATTCCAAAATCTGGGTCATCTTGAGATTGACTCCATTTGATTGTCTTTTCCCTTGAGAACCGCATTTTTCAGGTTCTCTCTGTATGTTGAATATCTTAAAAATATATTCTATGCATTGTGAGTGCTCTGTTGTGGAGACTGGATTCTGTTGCATTCCTCCAAAGAGTGTGGATGGTTTTATTTCAGCAGGCAACTAACTTGGTGAGACTCATATTGCAAACTCTCCCTCTCTCACCTGTGGTTTCATTCCTGTGGCCTTAGCTGTAGGCTGCTCTGAGTCTGCCAACCCACACACAGTGTAGGGGTGAGCCTGAGACGTGGACAGAACTTGTCATGGCATTTGGGGCTCCCATTCTCTGCCTCTCCTTTCTAGATCCCGCATCCCTTTCTCATGGCTGTGGTTGTCCTGGGGCTCCCTTCTCTGAGCTTCAGTCCAGAAAGACAGTGAGTTTTCTATTGGAGTCATAGCCCCCCAGTACTCTCAGACTGTAGCTGTCAAAAGGGAAAAGCTTGGAAGTTTCCTGGTCTAGTGGTCTAGTGGTTAGGACTTGGTGCTTTCACTGCCGTGGCCCGGGTTCAATCCCCAGTCGGAGAACTGAGATCCCTCAAGCCAAGCAGCGCGGCCAAGATAAAAAGAACCACAGGAAAAAACAAAAAAAAACAAAAAAACGGAAAACTCAAAATTGTACTGCTTTTTCTGCCAAGTTTCAGTTCTTTTCCAAAGTCTTCCTGCTTTGGTTCACTTCCTGGGTCTTCAGGTGATGGCTTTTTTTTTTTTTTTTTTTTCCAGTTCAGAGTGTTTATAGGTGTTATCTGCGGGAGGGGTTGGTCTGTTGGGATTTAACTCTGCCGGGATTTAGTTTAAGTCATTTTTATCCTCCCCAAGGCTGGGCAGCAGATATGGTACATATAGATGTCAAGAAAGTTTGTGGTTGAATGAATGGATGATGAACAAAGGAACTGCTTTTCACTCTCTCCTCTCTCCTTTCACTCAGCTCGACCCCTTTGAATCCAGTGATCCTTTTTCATCCTCCAGTGTCTCCTCAAAAGGATCAGGTGAGACTGATGGCTTATTTTCCTTCTCACTCTTCCTCGGGCAGTGGAACGGCCCACCCATTTCCAAATCTGGTGTGTCCTCAGTGTTTATGTCATTAGTAAGTGGCACCCAGATCCTCGCCTGAGGCAGTGCAGCCAAAGCCATTCCCCTCTGGCTGCTCATCTTTCTGAGCAATAGCTGGCATCTTACTGGATGGAAAGGAAGCTTGGCGGTAGGGATTAATTTAGTAATAACACCAATGTACTAGTTACTCTTTGCTCAATCCTCCTTATGAATCTTTGGTTCTAACCTCTGGATTTTTTTTCCTAAAGGAATCCAAAGTTCTACTGAGGCTTGTGCTGTGGGCACTGGATTTGAGGGAACCTCCCCTCACAGCATAAAGCTCTTAGGTGTGCCTTTAAGGGAGGGGCGCGTTTGCGGACTCCCCCTTGCTTTTGGAAACAGGTTCCACTTGGTACAGCCGCCTTGCCTAACATCTTGTGCTTGTTAGTTGCAGAGTTTGATTTCGTAGGTGAACTCGTGGGTTATTCTGGACAAATCGCACCACCCACCAAAGGAGAAAGCTCAGCAAAAATCTCTACCTGCAGATGACCTCCCCACATAAATCATGTGGGGGGCTGGTCGCCTCCCTCTCCCTCTCCCCTCCTGATCCAGCAGGACAGGCAGCAGGCTCTCCTTCCACAGGGTGCTTGTCACTCCTTTGGTGACGGTGAACAATGCTGGCTTGCAGCACAGCCGCAGGGCAGAGTCCCTCTGGCTCTCCCTGCGCCGGCTCTCATGGCCGCCAACCGTCTGGCTGAGCTGCACCAACCATGAGCCAGAGTGGGCAGGGGCAGGGGGCCTTGTTGAGGACTTGCACCCGATTCACCACCCCATCAAACAAACGTGACCTCCATGGATCTCCTGCTTTGGGGGCCATTGAGAACCAAGAGGTGACACTTCCCCCTGCTCCCAGGAGGCGTGTTCTGTGAATGCCCTGTAACTCTTCCTCTGCTGGTGCTGCTTGCAGGTCCCTTTGGAACCTTAGACCCCTTCGGAAGTGGGTCCTTCAATAGTGCTGAGGGCTTTGCCGACTTCAGCCAGATGTCCAAGGTAAAGCCCTTCCCACGGAGCCCCTGTGCCTCTGCCAGTGTCCTTGTGCCTCTTGTCGTGGTCTTGTCGTGGGCTGCCAGGTGTAACTGTTTAATGCCACGTATGTATTTCTTTGGCACCTGTCAAACTCTGAAATGTATTCTCATGTGAGGTCGTGAGTCAGCAGACGGGGTCTAGAAAGTGCCCATGGCTGTGGCTGGACCCACTTCCCTTCCTCCAAGCGAAACTGCCAGAGCCCTGAGTCCCTCCCTGAGGCGTAAGCGCCGAGGGCTCCCCGCTACTGCCACTGGTGTCAGATGGCAGTCAGACCTCAGGTGATAAAGTCGTCTCTGTGACTGAACAAAGTTGCGAAGGTCTTGGGCCCTGAGGGCCAGGCCGGGCGTGCAGCCCGCTGAGGCTGGAACCGTGGGCCTTGGGCCAGAAGGCAGGAGGTGTGTCTGGAGCTGCCCATGGACAGAACCCGAGAAGGATGTGGAAACCGAGGGCTAGGCTCGGTGAATAAATATGCAGGTGAAAAGTGAGCCTTTCAGGAAGGACGATAGGCACTCCTGGTTGGACTGGATGGTGCCTACACGGCCATAGTTATGTAAACTGACTGTGGATATAGTCCCACAGATAGTGTTAGAGCTCTTTCGAGAGGGGCTTGGAGGATGGTGCTTAACGTAGCAGGAAGTCGGTCAGGAGATATGTCCAAAATGGACAGATCAGGAAATAAGGGTAGAGGCCCACGACTGAGAAGTAGATTCCAGAAGAAACTGCTAAGAAGTCGAAAATGTTGGCCTAGGCGAGTAGGTCTGCTGTTCTTTGTTCTAACCTTTAGCGTCCCTTGGTTTTGACCGTGACCCGTGTTTCTTTGCCAAGAATTAAGGGAAGCAGCATTAGGTGTGCGCGTCTTGGCCTCGGTGGGTGAGGGTGGGATCCGTCACAGATAAAGCGCTGCGTGTGGCACGGCCTGTGGCCGCGGAGCCATAAAGCCCTGCATTCTTTGTTGAGTCCACCGGTCTGTCCCAGCCGCCTGCTCCAGCCCAGGTGCCGTGAGCACTGGGGGGCGGCCACATGCAGATACGGTTCCTGTCTCCTCGCTGGTGGGGGTGGGGTGGGGAGGGAGCCCCCCCGGAGTGTGTGGGATGGGTACCCACGGTGGGGAGTCCCGGGCCCCCGGCACCGCTTGCCCCGCGTGCCAGCTCCTCAGAGCATCCTGCGTGTTTCCTCCACGTTCACTCAGCCCGAGGGGCGCACGACTGTCTGGGCGCTGAGCACTCGTGGTTAGCAATGTGTGATGTGGTGCGTGGCTTCCAAGAAGCATTTGGGATTTTGTTTATGTTTTCAAAGAAATGCGTGAGTATAAACTGTTGAGGTAGCAAATGTAGCTTCTGGCCAGAGGCAGAGCATCTGTTTGCCCATTGGCCGCCGCAGAAGGGAGCCCAGAAGTGCTGGGGTTTCGGCCTCTCTCCTTCCAGTGCCTGGAGGGAATGAGCCTCCATCACTCGTATGGGAACTGTGAGGCTGACGGTCGGGGTGCCATCTGGGATCAGCCAGAAGGGACCAGGGCCTGAGATTTGCCCTCATGTTTGCCCGTCACTGCGTGGCTGTTACACACACTCCTTGAGTGGAGCTATGTGTCCTTGTCTTCTGTCCGTGCTTAGTGGGTGGGAAACCATCGCCTGAAATGAGAAAACTTCTGCCACACGGGGGCGGCAGTCTCCAGGGAAGGGCTTCGCACTGTATTCTCAAGCTGGCACAAGTGGGACCTCTCCCTGCGCAAGGCCGAGGAGGGAGTGAGAGCTAGCAGTGCCCCCGAGCTGGGACAAGGACGAGGGCATGAACGGGGTCCTCTGTTTCAAGAAGCACCTGAGTTGAGGCTGTGTGTGGGGTGGCCAGCCTGGCGGGGCCCCGGATGGCAGAAACGGCCGCGTCTCCCTCCTCCAGGCAGTGCCTGTGTTTCCCGTAGCTGCAGAGACACCCCAGAGCCGGGCAGTTCAGAACCTGGCCCTTCCCTCCTTCTGCCCGTTCTAACCTAAGGTTGCATTTTCCCTTTTCTAATTCCGCTTTCCCTCTCCTTGTTCGCGTGTCCCAGATCAGGCTGCGCACACGTGCACTTGCGACTTCAGGGCCAGTGTCCCTTCCTGTTCGTGGCGCTGGGCGGGATGGAGCTGGATGGGGCCGTGGAAAGTTTGTCTCCAGTACTCCATTGTTTTGTTTCCACGATTCCATCAGCTCCTGATCTCATGCCACTTGCCCAATTGAATACAGGGCCCTGACCTCATAGGTCTCTGTTTTTCCCTTTTGGTTCCCTTTCTGTTTTTCAAGAACAACATTGTGTATATAAATAAAATGCTGAAGGAAATGAAAGTAAGTGGCAAGAAGGTGTTTTTTTTTTTTTGACTTCTTGGTTTGTGTGTGTGTGTGTGTGTGTGTGTGTGTGTGTGTGTGTGTGTGTGTTAACATCGCTATCTTTTCTCCACCTGAGTGGGGTGGGGAGGCAATGCACGCTGGCGATGCGTGCTGGCTCCTTTTCTTTCTTTTTTTTTTTTTTTTCCTTTTCTTAACTTCACCCTAAATTAGAGTGTCCTCCCTCTGCCTGGCAGTGCTAGAGGAGAGTGCCAGCCAGCAGTCTGACTCCAGTAGATTCCTTTGGGAGGTTCTCTGGGCTTGCACCCTTCATTGAGGTCCCTCAACACCCGAGAAGATTTTTCTAGACAGTATTACCTTACTTTAAAAACACATTCCCCAAAATAGATTTCAGAGAGCATCTGAGAATAAAAACAAGACTCTAACTTAATTATCTTACTCCCGCCCTAAAAAAAAACCACCTATGAAATACTTGACTGCCCATTGTCAGCCCATTTTCAGTTGTTTTTCAAGCGTGCGTTCCTATTTAGGGCTTTTTTTTTTTTTTTTTTAAGTTTAGAGTCGTTTGCTTTAAATCAATTCTTTAAACTGTGAATCTCTTAGAGCTGCTTCTCATATAGTAGCTTTTCTGTCTGTCCTTTTTTCTTTTTCTTTCTTTTTTTTTTGGAGCACACTTCACTCTAGCCCAGCCAGAGAGCCCCTACCGGCTTTACTGAAACCCTTCTAAAAATAGCAACTTTCCCTGAAGCCACAGCCTGAGTAGGAACCAGTCAGGTCCCAAAGGAAGCTTCTTGGGAAACTTCAAGTCATGAAAATTAGGATTCGGAAATGACGCAGGCTTTTTGGTGTCAGAAGTGATATAATTCCCTGCTGTGGCCGAACCAGGCGCTTACAGTTGGAACCCTTTCGCCTTGGAGCGGGCCCACTGGCTCCGTGGGTTTAGACAGACGAGGGGGCGGAGAGTCGGCTTGGCCCGTGGAGTCCCCAGCCAGCCGGGAGGCTCACTGCAGCTCGCGCTCCAGGCTGGGGGTTGCACGGGCTGGGTGGACAAGGGCCCCGTGCACCCCACAACTCTGGGGGGGGGGTCACGTCCAGAGAGCCCTGGGTGTCCCTCTATACCCCTTCCCCAGAGCTGGCGCCTTTGCAGCACCCAAGACAAGAACTGGGGCCCACGCAGGTGCCTCGGGGGCTGGGCACGCCTCCACTCTGTCAAGATTAGTTTTGATTCCCTCCTGCCCGTCTCAGGTTGTGGCGAGGGCAGCAAGAGTCCTAGACCCAGGCTGTGTCCTGGGAACGGCAGAAGCAGAGGCGTCAGCATTCCCTCGCTCTCCATCTCCTTAGCCCCCACTGCGTCTTCTTTCCCAACCAGCAGACCCTGACCCACTCACTTTAGAGCTAAGCTGCTGGTCGACACGGCACCTTAGCTCTACTGCTCTCTCCGTCTGGGAAAGGCTCTGTGAATGACGGGAAGCAGCAGAAATGAAGCATCGGTGGCCGATGGAGCGTTTGCAGATTCTTGTGGGTATCCAAGAGAGTTCTAGTCACATCCACATCCTTGGCGTGATTATAATCGTGCTATCTTTGTGCTGATGCAGTCCAGGTGCCAGGTGGAGCAATTTATGCATTACCTTTCGTTTTCTTGCCACAGCCCTGCGAGCTGGGGCCTGTCATTATCGTTGTTTCATAGATGAGGAAACAGAGGCACGGAGCCGGTAGCAGGGCCTCCAGATCCCATCCCAACCACTGTGCTCTGCAGCAGACGTTCTGGAAACTCGAGCAGCAGGTTTTGCAGAGACTCCCAGACTTTTGTACCTAAAAGGACAAGCGTCACAGAGCCTGGGAAAGGGGGGCGGCAGCAGTGGAGGGAGGGACCTCCTTGCTCCATTGCAGCCCTTCTGGCTCAGAGCTTCCCGGCGGGCCCAGGTGGTCTTGGCAGGGAAATGAGTCTTTCCCATTAGACCCCATCCTCCCCAGGGCCTTCTGCCCTGCTCTGCCCCTTGCCTGCATCTGTGCATGTCTCCCTCATGGGCATGAGGAGAGTCCCCAGACCTCCCGTGGGGGGCGGGCGGCGGGCTGCCAGCAGCCAAGGGCAGGGCCCGAGAGCCCTGGCCCAGGAGGTGGACGGCGTGGGTTCCCGCCCTGACTCCCCCGCTGAGGTGCTGTGTGACTAGCAGGCTGCATCTCCTCCCCGTGCCTCAGTTTCCCTGTGTATAAGGTAGAAGTGGTGACAGTAGGACTTGTCCCAAGGCCGTTGGGAAGATGTGGTGAGAAGATCAGCGAGCGTCTCCTACCCTGGCGAGTGAGCGTCTCCTACCCTGGCGGCCCCAGAGGCTTGTGGGGAGGAACCAGGGCGCCCAGTGGGCTTGGCTGAGTGTGCAGCAGCCACCCCGGGCCCCCTCCTCCTCCCTGGGGGCTGGCCGCCTCTCTCCCACCTGAGGCTAGTATCTAGGTACCAGGGGCAGAGGCGGCCGCATCCCCGTCCCCGTGACCGGATCCGGAAGAGGGGGAGCCGCGTCCCCGTGACTGGCATCAGCCCTTCTCCCCACTTCTCCAGTGATGTGTCGGAACCAGATTACCTAAGAAGGTCCCACAAGTGCACTCTTGTGTTCCTGCTTTGTCTTCTGTCCCTTGACCTGCCCCACTGGGGAGGGCATCACAAGTGCCCCTCCTCACGCAACCCCCCCCCTCCACCCCTGCTGCGTGTGGCCCACCCTGTCCCACTGCGCGTCTCCTTTCCTTTGCTTTTTGAGGACCGTATCAGCATTTTCACTCCCGTGTCCACCAATTCCTTTAGTGTCTAGCAGCTATGAATCTCCTTGCTCTACTTTTTCGTAAACGTGGTCTCCCACCTCTGTAGAAAGCAGTCTCCTCCCTTTGGGGTGCAGCTCTGGCTGTCTGTGCGCATCCGTCTGTCGGTGGAGGTTTGTTATGCCTAGTACTGTGCTGGTGTTCCAGGTGAGGGTGCACAGGTAGACAAGTCCCTGCCCGCCGCAGGCAGTTGGCAGGTGTGCGCCCTGTCACTGGCACTTGACCTTCAGGCAACTTGCCCCAGTTAGGTGGGAGGGGCCTGAGTACCCGTCACTGCGGCGTGATGATGTGTGTCCCGTCAGCTCCCACCAGAATGTCCGAGCAGTCAGTTAGTGGGAAGGGGTGTCAGGGAGAGCTCTGGGGGTGGCAGTGAGGTCTAGCCAGTCTCTGAGGAAGAAGAGGGGCTTGAGGTGGACGGAGTGGGCTGAGCCCCCACTTGGGGACTCTGTATATATGGAGGCCTCGAGATGGGGCACAAGGGGGTTCCAGGTACCAGGGAACTGGCCAGGAGAGGGTTGGGGCAACTGCAGGGATGAAGCTAAAGCCCTGGGCAGTGGCAGGGGGGTAGGGTGGTGAGGGGCTGTGAGGGAGGCCCTGCGTGACTTGAGGAGTGCTTGGAGGTTACCTTCAAGCTTCAGGGCTGTTCAGTGCTACTACCCACCTCCCATCTACCTAGCTCCCTACCTGCCTGGCAGCTGTACCTACCCATCTACCCACCTGCCCACCCATCTATCCAGGCATCTCTCTGTTGCTGGTTGACATGGTCCCTCCTGGGTCTGAGGTGGTAGATGTGGAGGTGGGTGGAAGCAGGAGGAGGCTGGGGGAGGGTCCGGGCCAGAGCTGACAAGAGCCCACTGGAGGCAGCGATGGCTGTGCCCACGGGGCTGCGGTGGGCTCTGACCTGAGCCACTGGGTCAGGCAGCCCACGGGCACAGAGAGGGTCTGGTGCCGCTCTGACCCAGCGCCTGACACTGACTGAAGGGGGAGAGGCTGGGCGCATCTCTGAAGTATGAGCAGGAAGCCCAGGGGACCCTGGGGTCAGGAGAGACCTGATATCCCCCTGTGGGTGGCAGGAAGCACCCCACCCCATGTCAGAAGGCCATCGAGGCACCGGGTTACTCTCACTTGCTCTGTGTGTTTGCTGGCTGCTCCTCACTGGCCAGAGGACCCCGTCTGTTGAGGGTGGAGGAAAGTGGGGGGGGCTTGTGAGAGACCCTGGGCCCGAGTGGTGGCCATGCTGTGCAAGCCCGGAGGGCTCGGTGGATGTCCGCTGCCTCCGTGTTAACGATTATCTCTGCCTCTCTTTCGTGTCCTCTCTTACAGCCCCCAACTTCTGGCCCTTTCACCTCCTCCTTTGGAGGGGCAGGATGCTCAGATGACCCCTTTAAAAGTAAACAGGACACTCCCGCTCTGCCTCCGAAGAAACCTGCTCCTCCGCGGCCTAAACCGCCCAGCGGTCAGTACGCTTTCTTCTCTCACAGCCACCCGCCCACCGTCGCCAGGCAGCGGGGGCACTGCGGGCCCCTCCTTTCACCAGCCCAGAGTAGAGCAGACGCTGCAGGGCCTGCACTCAGAGCAGGAGGGTCTCCCCTCCGCCCCGTCGCCTGGGTCCGCACACACTGTGTGCCTGGCACGTGCTTCCTGCCCCACCTGTCCTCGCCTCGTCCTCTGGGCCTCTTGGCTCCGGGCTGTGTGGGGCTCCAGGGTGGTCTCCGGAAGGCCAAGAGCTCAGAGCCCTCCTTGCGGTCGGGAGAGCTGCCGCATGGCCCCCGGTTCAGCATGCAGTCGTGGCCCCTCCGGCCTCCCCACCCGACCCAAGCTCTTTCCCAGGTTGGCTCAGGGAGGGCCCAGGGGTGGGGACGGCAGCAGCAGTGGCTGAGGCCTCCACTCAATCCAGTGCCTCCAGACTGGTTAAGGACTTGGGGAGGGGTGGGGGGGGTCTTCCTTGGCCATGTTTGATGTGAGAGGAGGCAGGATGGCTCGGGGCTCCCTTCTCCTCCGCTCCGGCCCCAGCATCTAGGTGGACGGCTCCGAGCAAGGGGTTTCCTGTAGACTCTACCTCTCCTGGCTGCGGTGGGGTGGCTGCTTTCTCTCAGGGGTGAGCCTGGCATGTTCCCCTGAGGATGCTGAGGACTGTTAGCTCATGCAGGGGACCTCTCTTACGTGATGGCGATAGGCCAACAGGCCAGGTTACCAGACTCAAAAGCAGAAAGCTGTTGCTCCAAGCGGCAGAGAGATTCACTGCAATTTCCCAGTCCATTTATCCGTCTCCTCTTCATCGTTCGCGCTCATCTCCCAGCAGAGTCACCTATGTTGTCCTTAGACTTCTGGGTGGCCACAGGAGAACCACACGCTCCCTCGGTCGCGCCTTCTGTTCCACAGCCTTCCTCTCCCCGGTCCTTTCTGTCGGGGGGGCGGTGCTCTCCTTCCCACCCGAGCTCGCCCTTCCCCGTCAGTCTGCCCCGGGGACTCGCCTTGGCACCTTGTGGTCATCGGTGCAGGCTCCCAAGCTCTCTAGTTTCAAGGGGTCATCAGTCCAAGGCTGGCCAGTCTTCCTACACCTGCCACTGGAGCCAAACAGAGGGGAAAAGCTATTTAAAAATGCTCCCTCTCCCTTTCTGTCACCTGGGCTGGCCAGAGCTTTCTCTCAGGAGGACAGGAACTCCGCCCGCAGTGCCCAGTTTGGCCTCCTTGTGGATGGGTCATGAGAGAAAGCACGACCAACAGGCGGGATGAATTTATAACAGGTTTTCTGTGAACTGTGAGCAGACACACACACATAAAGAGATCACTTCTGTAAGCCACGCATCAAAGGCATTTATCATAAAACGGGGGAGAAAAGCAAAAACAACAAAGGAATTCCCTTGTGTCTGTGAGAGGCCGCTTATATATACCTTAGAGGCAGTGGCCCTTAGGGAACCCCTGACGGTCTCCTGATGGAATGACATCGGGCCTTCTCTGCCTGAAAGATGGGAGCCACAGCACACCTACACACACGTGCACATGCAGTCACACGCTGCACTCGTGCACACGCTCGCACAGTGCTTGCATACACCTGCATGCACACTGCACACGTGAAAGTACACACACACGAGTGCACACGTGCCCAGCAGCTCGGCATCTGTCAGGCCTCGTGGAGGAGCTGCTCCCCTCACTGGCTGTGGCAGGCGCAGAGCTTCATTCTCGGGGTTTCTTGGAAACACTCATCTCAGCCTCCTCCCCTTCCCTGAACCAATGCTGGGTGCTTTTGAACTTGCCCTCCGCTGTCACCTCCCCTTGTGTCTCCCTCTGCGAGCCTCTCCACCCCGCCTTGGCTTCTGCTTTCAGTGTGCCGTGGACTTAGAAAGCAGAGCCCGCCAGAGGCACGGCTCACCTCCTTGGAGCTGACTTCAGGGCTCGGGCTTTTTAGAGCGCTGTCCACGTTTGGGGAGGTTTGGCCCTGTATGCTGGGGGTCTCAGGCTGCCTTTGCTCGTGGCTTGGGGCTGCCGCAACCTTGCTGTGCCACAGCCTGCTAGGGTGCCGGGTGCCCCGAATATCGTCTTCACGTCACAGCCCTCAAGGTGCACGTGCATGACTGTTAGCTTGCCAGATTCTAGCAAGACCCGCAAAGACGGGGCAGGCACCGTGATGCCCTCTTACCGGAACTGGAAAGGGAAGTGAGAGGGGTCACGTGTGACCCAAGGTCACGCAGCAAGGTGGTAGCAGGACCAGCCCTGGACCCAGGGGCCACCACCGCCCCCCTGCCGGCCTCCCACCCCCAGAGACAGCTGTAATGACAATCAGGCTGTGAGGTGCGGGTGCTCTGGACAGTAGTCAGCTTGTGTGCAGTGCGTAATCTGTGAGCGGCCACGACGTGTCTGCGTAGAGGCCTAAATGTCTCTCATCTGATTCTCTTACCTAGAAGCAGTGGCTGAACAGGAAATCCCTGCGTTGTACACACTGCTGGGTGGTAGGTACACACTGTGTGGCGGGTGCCCCTGGAGCACTTCCAGTGGTGTTTCTGCTGTGATTTCATACTAACCTCTAACAACCTGGAAATTGCTGGCTGTGCCGATGCCGATGTACCCGCGAGGGACACCTGACCCAGCAGGTGGATGTAGGTGGGTGGGGGGCATTTGGCTCTTTGAGGGATGCGCAGGAAGGTGTCCCCCCCACGCTGCTTCCCTGATTGAGGGAATTGGAGCCCAGCTGTGCACACTGCTCTCCCCTCCCCCATCCAGGCCGCAAGGAGCAAGGCCACTTAAACCGGAGCCTCCTGGCAGTTATCTGGTTCTTAGCAAGACAGGTCGGCAGAGGAGAGTTGGAGGAAGTCCCACTCAGAACGGTTGTTATGAAAGCATCAGGCCTGGCTCTTGTTTTCTTGGCTGCTAAAGATGAGAAGCAACCAAGATGTCCAGCTGTTGTTGTCGTTGTTTTTGTAAGAAAACAAAAGTCCAGCAGTTTGCAAGGGAGGGGATGGAATGTGCTCTTCTGCTCGTCTTGCTGACCCAGCCTTTTCCCGCTTCGAGGGGCCGCGTGGCCAGCATGTGGCAACGCCGGGCGGTCACGCTCAGGGGCCATCCTGACACGTGGGGGAGCGTTGGTCCCAGGCGGCTGAGCCGGGAGGAGATGAGGCAGGTACCCTGCTCCCGGGGACGTGTGGCCCTGGCGGTCGAGCTGTGATCCCGCGAAGGTAGGCGAGTGGACAATCCAGCCTGCTGCGTGATAATGATTTTTCTCACAACCCACACACACAGCTTCATACCTGCACTCCAAATACCAAGAGGAAGGAATGGGCTCTTCTGTAACCCTCGCCGCCCCGCATGTGAAATGGGTCCGATTGGCCACATTCCCACTTGAGGCTGGTCTGCAGGGGACCCAGAGGTTTCTAGAACCCTGCCAGGTCTTTGCGCCTGGAGTCGACTCCGATGTGTGAGGCCAGGACAGGCGAATCTGATGCCATATCCCTCCAGCATCTGGGCCACCTGTCCCACTAGAATCCCGAGAGGCTGTGTGATCAGGATGGTTTCACGTTCCAGCCGCTTCCGTTTCCCTGAGGGGCTCTGGGCAAGTGTCTTAACCTCGCCGAACCTCAGTTTCCCTGCCTGGACATGGGACCAACTCTGGCCTAGCATGTGGCCTCTCTGGTAAGTGCCTTGCACAGTGATTACCATGATGGGCATGGTGTGCATCCCCCAACCCATCCCCAGGGTACAGAGACCAGGACTCGGGGTCCTCCTTCCCTAGCTCCTTTCCCGGGAAAGACAGAGGCTGGGCCTGAGGTGGACATATGCGTACAGGGATTTATCAAGGGATCCTTTTCCCCCATGAGATTGCAGTTTAGCAGAAACCTTTGCAGTTGAAAAAAAGTCAGAGCGTGGGTAGTTGAACTTCAAAGAGGTCTCCAGGGTCCCCTCTGGCGAAGCTCAGCTGTCGTCACTCGTGGGACCAAATGCACGTTTGGGTCTGAGTTACTCTTGGTTTTTGGGGTGCCATCTCTTGTGCACCAGCGGCTTCAGTTTTTACATTCTGTGGGAGCTGGTTTTTTGTTTGTGTTTTTGAGCTTGATTAAAGATTAATTGACATGCGACAAACGTATATAAGCATCAGCCTGTGCAGTCACGGTGGGGATCCTACCAACTGGGACCCTCACCAGGGTTCTCTGGGAAAGAGTTCTGGTGCCATAGGTGTGTGACCGGCGCAGCCCGCGGCTGGCCGTCTGCTCTGACCCAAGCCAGAAAGTGGACCTTTGGGGGCTGTCAAGAATCGCCCTCTGTGGCATGTGCACGGAGCTTTGGCATCAGCGCTGAGTTCTCTGTGCCTGGAGGTCTCTTCTAGAAAAGTCTATCAAGGTATGAAATGACCAGCAGGTGTCTGTTTGGGGTAGAGAGAATTGGTTTCTTCTAGGCAGATGCAAAACAGACCGTTCTGGCAGCCGCCGAAACCTGTCAGTTAGAGTTAGCGCTGGCACACCTCCCCCAGGTAAACAGCGGTGTGCTTTCTGCAACGGACCGGAGATCGAGATCAGTCAGAACTCACCGCTAAAGAGTTTCTAGGTAAAAGTTGTTGATTTGCAAAGGGAGAAACAGATTTTTTTTTAAGTGCAGGAAATGGCTGTGTGGGTGTCAGTGATTGGGCCTCGCGCCTGCGGCGACAGATAGCGGGATCCTGTGCCCCGGGCCCCACCCTTGCCACTTCCTGCAAGTGCAGCCCCGCGTTGCGGTTCCTGCAGCTCCCGGGTGACACCAGCTAGCGCGCCTTCACCGCTAACCAGCCAGTCACCTTTAACCTTTCCCCAATTTAATTATTATTACTGCTAATAACCTTTGCACCT